AAGCTGGGAAGGCACGTGGAACGGCCCTTTCGGTGGTACAGGTCATTCAGGGGAATTCCCTTGCGAAGTTGGTTCCGGATTAAACCCGCCCTATTCAGAGGGGGTGTTTCCCCCACTAGAAGTGGACACCCCCCTGTTAGTCAACCAGGATGCGTTGAGCTGAGACAAATGCGGAATCCTGTGTAGGTGGCACGAATTCAACATTTCTGCTTGGTTGCCCCGCAAAACTTGCCCGCAAGGGGATAGTGCAAAGTCTACTTTTGCCCTGGTTAGATTTCCCTAAGCATGGCACCAAGGGAAGCTACTAAATGACAACATAAGCGAATTAGTCGAACACATTTTTGCTAAGGTTCGCAAGCCTAACTGCTAAGAAGGTCTGCGGTGGTCCTTTGGGGGATGAACTTTTCTCGAAGGGCATCATGAATGCTCCTACTCAATTTTGCCCCTTCTTTCAAAGCAAAACACAATTCAAACATGGGCTAGTGCTTTACAGGGCCAAATCAGGGTGAAAAGCAAAACAAAAGGACCCCCCCCCACTTCCCCCCCATCTTGGAGGTGTTGCTAATTTTAGTTTTCGTGCTGCAGGGGTCACTATAGTTCCCTTTTTGGTGGTTTGAAACATCACCTTTTTGGTGGTTTGAAACATCACCTTTTTGGCCCATGAAAGGTGTGTCCCTTGGTGGGTGTGATGTTTTAAGAGGAAATATAGGGAGCCCTGTGCTGTGAAGAAACGAGCCGTGGGGGTTTGATTCCAGCAATGGATGCCGCATCCCGTGGGGTGTCACATGTGAATATGTTCCCTTTGCCAGCACTCTTCTTGCACTCTTGTGGGATCATTGATTGGTCTTCGGATCAATGAGACCCCCAAAGTGGTCGTTGACCGGTGGGACAGGCTGATGTGGGGCAGCATCTAGCTACCAAATGGACCGATTCGATGTGGGTCACACTCCCGAGCATCCACAGGTGCAGATGGCGTGCATGCGGAGAACTGTCTTTGTGGGATGAAGCCCATCCACATATGGGTATGGGTCAAAATGAAACCACCAGGATATGGACCGCAGGTTTTAGTCCATGTTTGCTTTGCATTTACCAGGGGTCCCTACATTTCCCCTTCGGGCGCCGCGCTAAGGAGAACGGACTCGGGCTGCACTCACACGTGGGGTGCAGTCCGAAGAAAGAGACGGGTGCTTTTGAACCTTTTTGGCCCATGAAAGGGGGAGCGTCCCTTGGTGGGGGTGATGTTTCCAGGGGAAATATATGGAGCCCTGTTTACCAGGGTTCCAATTTGGGGTTACCCTATTTTTGACCCACAGCCATATTGAAGATCAGACCATACAGATCAAGTCTCTGAGACCAGGCGATGAGCGCGGCGATGAGCCGGTTTGCGATGGGCTGTTGGTCGCTTTTTCCTTGCCTCACCCCCAGATTCTCCCCAGATTCTCCCCAGATTCTCCCCGAGTTCTCCAGAAGGTGAGCATGTTGATCAGAGGAATTTCCCTGATTCTAGCCTAGGGGGGCTGCCACCCCTGATTCCTATGTTCCTTTTGCTTCCAAAGTTGACATTCGTCCAGCGAAACCGGGTTCTCATCTCCAGCGAGTGCCGCGCGCAGGCGTTCGAGCCTGGAATTTTGGCGCGGGTGAACCGCGGTATCCTCTACATCGACGAGGCCTTTCGAGAAATTCGGGTACTTCGCCTCGTATGACCCACAACTTACCTGATCTTGCTCCCTTTGCTCCCTTCCATGAGACCCTTTGCTGTTCAAATCCATTCGCCCAAGGTTCGGTCAAAATATCCAGTATGGTTAGTTGGAGAAATCACAATTTCAACCACAGAAGGCATTTCTCGTCTGACCTGTTGGCTTCCTAATTTTGGTAAAAGGTTTGGTCAAGGCCCCAAAAGGTCAACGATTGAATTCTGGGTAAGCGAGATCATTGACCCAAATCCCAGGCTTGCTTCTGTTTTCGAGTTCTGAGCCATTTTTGGGTTTGTCTTACCACGCCAAAGGAGAACTATCCGCTTTTGGCGGTTCCCGCAAAAAAGGCTCCCCGCCACTGCACGGGACAGACGAGTCCAGTGCCCATTTGGAGCAAGGTTGGTCAAGCCATGTTTAAGCAAGCAACCGCTGGTCGACTTTGGGGGGGGAAACAAAAAGGAGGTTGTTTGGGTTTGTTTTACCTCTTCAAGCAAACGTAGTTGAAATAATAAAGTCATATGAAATCTCTCCCTTGGAATTCATTCTGCTTTCATTATTTCTTTGTCTTTCTTTCTTATATCTTCCCGGATTCATCTACCTCTAGAATCCGCACATTCCTTTCCTGTTCCAATCCAAATATTATGAAAAGGATGGGGAGAGAGGGAAGGGAGACAAAGATGAAGGAAGCATCTCATGGTCACCCTTCATGATTATATGAAAATGTACAGAGGTATGCACCAGCCGCATGCATGAGTGAATAGCTCTACATGACCGCAACCCTGGATCAAACCAGGGCGCCCTTTTAGCAGAAAGGTGAAAATAGCCGCCTCAGTGCCGTCGCGCCGCCTTCGGCATTTTGATGGTAAGCGGAGCCAGGTGACATCCTGGCGGCCCGCTGCTGCAGCTCTTCGAGCCGCAGTGCTGTTGCGCCTCTACAGCAACCTCTTCATCGAGGACCCAGGGAGCGGCGGTGGCGCCAATCCCCAACAGGCAGCCCGCCTAGGCCGGCAGCCTACACGCCACACACACCACGCGATCACCTAGATCGACATGGCCCTCTCACGACCGCTTGAGTTCGACAAGCATGGCGTCCCGCTGTACTCCGGCGAGGCTGAGCTCTTCGAGGAGTATGTGGAGCGCGCATGGGATCTCTGGCACGGTTGAGATGGCCAAGATTCGCTCCAGATGAGCACCCCGGTCCATCTCCGAGGTGGTCTCTCCGGCCATGCCTATGAGGCCGTGAGGAAGCTGGAGCACGCGAGGCTCACCTGGAGGAGGGCATGGAGCTGTTCCTCACCACGCTCAAGGAAGCCATCGCAGCCGAAGTTCCGGTGAAGGCCAACGAGTTGTTCCTGATCTTCTACAGCCCGCATGTTTGGAGGCGACCTCACGAAAGCATGCAGCAGTACATCATCAGGCGCGAGCAGGACTTCAAGCGGCTGGAGGACCACGCCCCAGGCACCCAGGTTTCCGACAACCTCAGATCCATGATGCTCCTCATCTTCGGAGGTCTGGATCACAGAGAGCAGCTGTCCGTTTTGAGCTCCGTGAACAATGAGTACGACTTCAAGAAGATCGCCCACGCGATGCGCATCCAGTTCCCCAGCATTGCCGGCAAGCCAGTCCATAGGCGTGACTATCTTGGCGCTGGTCGGCAAGCCCCTGCAGCTCATGGTCACCAGGCACCACGTTTTCGGTGGAAGCCGACCCGAGGCAAGCAGGTGCTCTCCGTCACTGAGGAGCCGGATGAGGACTTCGAGAACATCGACGAGGGCGATGAGGCGTACTACGAGGAATCCCAGGACACCTTCGAGGTTACGGATCAGGACTACTCCTACTCCGAGGACGAAGGCCTGGACACCTTGATGGCGGAGATGTTCCCCGACAACGACTTCGAGGACGCAGATGCCGCCGAGGTCCTCGCCACCATTGCCCAGATGCGGATGAAGGGAAAAGGCAAAGGCAAAGGCCGCAGTAAAGGCAGCGGCAAGTCGACTTCATCGCCTACAGGACCATCCGGGATTCCCTTCAGGGCATCTGGTGAGATGACCTTCGATCAAAAGGCAAAGGAACAACGGCGGTCTGCCGTGAAGTTCCCCAAGACGATCACCCCATGCACCTCGTGCGGCCAGAAGGGTCACTGGCAGGGTGATCAGGAGTGCCCTAACGCCAAGAAGGGCAAAGGCAGCGCCAAGAGAGCTGCCAAACAAAAAGCCACCCCAGAATCTCTTCGTGCTGCACGAGATGGATGAGCAGTTCGAGGGAGACGATGTCTACATGGTCCTCAAGGACTACGGTGGTCTCTGCGAGCACAGCATCTGTGCCGGCGGGCTTGAGAAGAAGTTCCACCGTGGGGCGAATGGTCACGCGCGGTACATTACCTGCAAGGAGCCCGAATGCAACCGCAATGTTTTGAATGTCAATCGCCGTGAACCTGCACAGCTCTGGAGGTACCTCGTCACTATCGCCATGGGCACCAAATAGGTACCAACGCCAGGTCCAGAGAGCAGTTCAACCGCATGACCAACGTCAAGCTCCTCGCCTTGGAGGACAAGCCCCCGGAGAAGCAGAAGCGTAGCCCTTATCCAGCAGCACCAAGCACTCCAACTACACCCGGATCACCGGAGTGGGAGTACGTCGGCGCAGGAAGCGAACCTTCCTCAGCAATGCCTCCACCAGCGCCAAGGACGGCCCGCATTATGCGACCCACGGGCCAACAGTGCTGGCTCTACGGGGTTCACCTGGTTCCTGGTAGCCCGCCTCCGGACTTCCCGCTCCTGTCGCCCGAGGACATGGATGTACTTCAACCTCTTCCGGGAGACGCTACCCACATTGTCGGCGGCCCCTACCATGGCTATGCCTACATCCAGGTGGCTGAGTCCCCCGACTGCAACCAGTACTGTGCCTACATTATCAAGAGAGCGCTGGACAATGAGCCCATGACGCCCGATACGTTCCGCTTCGCCTTCTACCTGTATGGCAGGATCATCTTGGTCTACAACTCGGGCATGAAACGTCTTGGTGGCCCTATGCTCCAGTGCCAGCAGGTCCACCCGGCTATGGATGTCGACCGCCTCATCAAGGCCCCCATCCAGATGAATCCTGATGATCATCAACCGCAAGTACAAGAGTGCGAGGTGATGATGGCCAATAGCTCAGACTCCGACCCAGAGGTCATGGTCGCTATGGCAGACCCCCCTGGCCTAGCTATCCTGGATAGCGGTTGCTCCAGGACTATGCACGGTCGTGGATGGGCTGCGGAGTTCGAGAAAGCGCTGACCGACCTCGGCCTGACCTTCGACACCAAGGCCAAGGATCAGTCCTTCAAGGGCATCGGGGGCCACATCAAGAGCACCGAGATCAAGATCTATCCCATCGGGATCGGTGGAAGGCATGGTCAGCTCCACACAGCCGAGACCCCGGACATGTCGCCGCTACTTCTGTCCAGACCCTTCATGAAGAAGCTCGGCACGACCATGGACGTGGAGCACGAGACCGTGAGCTTCACACAGCTGGGCCTCGAGGACATTCCTATGATCCGCACCTCTCGTGGTCATCTCGCTATCAACCTCCTGGAATTCGACATGGATAACCTCGACATGTTCCACATCGAGGAGGCGTTGGTTTCCTCGCCAACGGAGCCACCTACAAGCCCAGAGGATGACCACTTCGCTGACCTCCCGTATACCACGACGGTTGAGGACATCGCCTACGGCAAGGTCTACGACGACCCACATGACTTCGAGGCGTTCACTCAAGATGAGCCCGGCGTCACGAAGAAGAACAAAAAGATCGCGGCCCAAGAGTTAGCCTTGGACGGTGATGACTGGTCCCGGCAGCAGACGCTCCAGAACGACCATCTCACCCGAAAGCCACGCAAGCCTCCGTACGGCAAGACATGGCTGAAGCAGATCTTCGCCGGCCAGATGGGCCTCACCTTGCTCGCCGTTGCCCTCGGCATGATGGTTGGTGCGCCACTGGATTCGTCATCAAGCGCCTGGGATGCCGGAACATCCATGGGAGCTAAGCAGTTGGCGCAGGATCTCAAGGTGGAGGACCCCTACGTTCTGGTCATCACACAGCCATGCGGTCCGTGGGGCGCGTGGAGCCGCTTCAATTTAGCCAAAGGCGGCCTTGCCCGCCGAAACTGTGACAGCCCTCAGAGAAGAAGGCCGCAAGGTCCTGAGGCTGGTGGCCAAGGCCGTGGTATGGAGACTTCAAGCCAAGCGCCACGTGTTCATCGAGCAGCCCCTCAGGTCCCAGTCGTTGGACGAGCCCGAGATGAAGCCCGTCAAGGACTATGTCGATAGCGGCCAGCTCATCTACATCAAGGTAGATGGAGGCATGATGGGTTACAAGGACGCCGTCTCCGGCTACCCGCATAAGAAGCCCTCGTATTACCTCACGGACATGATCACCGCGCAGAGCATCTTCGCACATGCCGTATGTCCTGGTGATCACCATCATGAACATCTGGAGGGCAACAAAGCTTGGTTCCCGTACCGCGCAGGCATCAGTCTGGCCATCCAAGCTCAACCAAGCGGTCCTGGACACCATCTTCCAGCAGGCCGCTATGGAATCTGCCGCGTTCGCTGAAGCAGAAGAGGTTTATCATGGAGCCCGCGCCAGGCCTCACTCCGAACCAGGTGGAGTTCCGAAGCGAAGGAGGGGTGGAAGAGTAGCTATCCCTCGAAGCTTGGACAATGCCCCACCTGTTTACATTCGACCTCATGAGCCACAAGCCCCCGAGCTACTACCAGATCATCCTCCTGGGCATCCTCATCCTCATGAGGATCAACTTCCCCCCGGAGGTGACGATCAGGGATATCGTGCAGGTCAAGCGGATGAGCTACGGCCGGTCCTAAGCATGACAGAGTCGGAAAGACGCAAGTGCTGGCTCCAGATCGACCCGGACCTCCGCAAAACTCTCAGAGACCTCCACGTCAACTTCGGCCATCCCACCAACGTCACACTGCAGCGGATCCTCCGAAGACAGAAAGCTCGGCCAGAAGCCATCAAGGCCGTGGACTACATGCCCTGTGACGCTTGCGGTGATAGCGTCCGCAAGAAGAGGCCCAAACCGGTCAGACTCCCTTCCGCCTACAAGTTCAACCACCACATCCTGGTAGACGTGTTCCACGCCTATGACATCATGAACAACCAGTACGGGTTCCTCAACATGATCGATGACGGGACCAGGTTGTCTCCTGTCTTGGTCAATCGAGAGGTCCGCCCGCCTCACAGGCCATTCTGCGACATTTCCTGTCTACGTGGAGCTCATGGGCGGGACTTCCAAGAAGCCTACAATGTGATCGAGGCAAAGAATTCCTTGCCGACTTCAGCGACTACCTCAAGCAGTATGGAGTTGAGGTGGAGGCCATGCCACTGGAGTCTCCCTGGAAGAATGGGAAGGTCGAGAAGGCCGGTGGTCTGTGGAAGAACATCTTCGCGAAGACCGTCTCGGAGATGCAGATCACCGGGTTGCAGGGCATTCAGACCGCCACGAGCATCGTCACTCAGGTCCGCAACGACTTTCCCCGGGAGAACGGCTACAGCCCGAACCAGTGGGTTCTCGGTGGCCATGAGATAAGGGTGCCGGGTAGCCTCCTCAGCGACTATGAATCTCAGCGCTTGGAGGTGCTCAAGGCCGCCGACAACCCGCAGAGCGCGATGGCTAAGAACCCCAACATCCGGGAAGCTGCGCGGGTCGCTCGCACGGATCCGACGGGCCCTACTACACCAATCTACGCCCAGCAGAGGACCCTTCCCTGTCGGAGCCTACGTGTACTTCTACCGCCAACAAGTTCGTCCAGGACAAACCGGCGACCGCAGTCAGCGGTGGCATGGGCCTGCCCGTGTGATCGGGATAGAGCCCCGGAATCCGCATCGACTTGAAGATCCTGAAGAGATGACGGACGGAGCAGCGCCACATAGCTACTGGCTTCGTTATGGTTCCTCGGTCGTCCTCACCTCGGGAGAGCAGATGAGCTTCGCGAACGAGGACCTGGCAGCCCACATGGTGCCCCAGGAGATCCAGACCGAGGAGAGCATCCGCGGTGCCAGAAACTATGTCGACGTCCGGCCACGTCTACCTCAAGAACCACAACCACCGTCAGCCGGACAATCTACTGGTTATGATCATTGGCAGACCAACTCGGACGCACGGTCACTCGAGTTCATCTTCGACCACGCCTAGCCTTGTTCACACCTGAAGGTACGGGATGCCCGATCCCCGTTACCGGCCTCCGGGACTACCGCCTGACCCTGGATGGAGATGGTGATCAAGGCGAGATCCACGACGACTGGCGAGGCCGTCAAGCCAACCGATCTCTAGGCGTCAAGTGGACCGGTCAGACTACCTTTTGGCCGGACCTACAGCCAAGCTCTTCAAGTCAACCTCTTAGCACTACCAGCCAACCGGCCTCAGCCGCAGCACCTTCCGTACTACAACCACTCGCACCTTCCGTACCACCACCACTAGCTACTTCCACGTCTCAGTCCCGCACTACCAGCAACGGATCCACTACCTGCCATTGGTCCACCTGCGAACCAACAACCACCAGTCCCACGAGCACTACCACCAGACGTTGATGGTCAGCATGAGCCTGAACCTGCCCCAACCACGTCAGTACCACCGACGCCTCCGGGAGAACTACTACACGCAATCCGGGACCCCGACCGTTTGGATGGTGTTCCTGGAGCAGTCCGCACTCAGCGTCATCGCCCTCCAGTTCCTGGTCCTTACGTCGTCGAGGATGAGGACGGGCAGTACCCTGATGAGTGCGGCACTTTAACAACACGAATCCGGAGGAGAAGGCTTCGCATGCTCGCTGGCGATTCAGGTTCCGACGGCAGTTCGACTGCGGAGGAGGACAACCAAGACCAGAACATTCCCACCAACTTCAGGATGGAGGAAGCCATGCTCACCGGCAAGGCCGTTCGCTCCGAGACGAACCTCAAAGACTTAGACCCGGAGGACCGCGCCCTCTACGATGTGAGCATGGGCGATGAGTGGCAGTCATGGATAAAGTTTGAGGCTGTGGACATCCTCACGGAGAAGCAGAAGGAAGACCTGGACCCCGACATCAAGGTCGTCGGGACCAGATGGGTCCATACGGACAAGAACAGAAAGGCCAGACTTCTGGCCCTGCGTGCTGCGCGGAAGACCGGCAAATCAAGGTCGCAGATCAAGAAGGAGTTCCCCATCAAGGCCAAGAGCAGATTTGTCGTGCAAGGATGCCAGGAGATCAATATCGGCATCCGCAGTGACAGCCCCACGGCATCACTCCTCGCCTTCAACCTGGTCTGCGCCGTGGCAGTGATTCAGAAGTGGTTCGTGTTGGCCGCAGATGCATCAACGGCCTACTTGCAGTCGCAGGGGATTGATCGGGTACTCATTTTGAGACCTCCTCGACCTCCACCGCCAGGTGTCAGTCCCCACGACCTCATGCGCGCCCGCGGCTCCATCTACGGCACGAAGGATGCAGGGCGAGCTTGGTGGAAGAAGTTGATACGTTCGCTAAGCGCTCAAGGATGGCGCCGATCTCGCATTGAGTCAGCTCTCCTCTTTCTCTACGTTGAGGACTCCTTCCAGGGCATCATGATCACCCACGTGGACGACCTGTTCGCGGCCGGCGAGGGAAAGGCCTATGATGAATCCCTCAGGGTTCTGGAGAAAGAGCTGCACCTCACCATCAAGCGCGGCAACTTCAGGTTCTGTGGAAAGGACCTCGTCCAGCACCCCGATTACAAGATCGAACTCATCCAGAAGGAGGCCATTGGCACCATCGAGTACCAGGTGTTGGACAAGCGCCGCCGCATCGTGCCCAACTCCCCGTTGTCTAAGGAGGAGATCAGCCAGTTCCGTGCCTTGATCGGTTCCATGGGTTGGGTGACTCGCCAAACGCGCCCAGACCTCATGGTGAATGTCAGCATGGCCAGCCAATCAATGAGCAGGCCACGCGTGCGAGATGTGATAGAATTGAATAAAGCCTTGAAGATGCTCAAGGACACCGCGGACGCCAAGATGTGCTTCTGCCCCAATGACCAGCTGACCCTCTCCGATACGATCGTCTTCGTCTGTGCGGACAGTAGCCATGCCAACGCAGAGACCAAAGCCGGAGAGAAGGTCAAGTCACAATGTGGCTATGTCGTCGGCCTCGCCCACAAAGACCTAGCCACGGACAAGGAGGTTCCTGTGCTCCTCCTTGAAGCACAATCAAGTACAATTAAGAGGGTATGCAGAAGCACACTTGCGGCGGAGTCGAATGCCTTCCTCATGGGAGCTGAGGCAGCCGACTACGTCAGGTCCTTGCTCATGGAGATGCTGCACCCAGATGAGAAGCTCATCAACCTGGAGAGTGAGTACGTCAAGCGGATGCTCCTCGTGCTCACCGACGCCAAGAGCCTGGAGAGCACCATCGTCAAGGACGCCGGCCAGCCCACAGAGAAACGCGTCAAGGTTTTGGTTGCCCAGATCAAGCAATGCCATGGTCAAGTGGCTGGACACCTCTCAGATGCTGGCGGACGTCCTCACCAAGGTTGGATGTGAAAGAGAGCTGATGCTCTCAGTTTTGGACCAAGGCATCTGGGGCGTGACGCCTTCGCTGCTTGCCACCGCCAAGAAGGCGAGCATTCGAGAGGGCCGACACCGCCGAGCAGAACAAGCACGCCAAGAGAAAGCAGAACATGCAGCAGCTGAGGACGGGTGAAAATGTACAGAGGTATGCACCAGCCGCATGCATGAGTGAATAGCTCTACATGACCGCAACCCTGGATCAAACCAGGGCGCCCTTTTAGCAGAAAGGTGAAAATAGCCGCCTCAGTGCCGTCGCGCCGCCTTCGGCATTTTGATTATATTTCATGTTGGTTTTAGTCAATGGTCACTGTCACAGTGATAGCAGCCAGCGTCAGCTCCCGAGAGAAACTGTTTCTTACGGAAACACCATCATAATTACAGTTGTCTGGAGTCAACAAAAGTAGTTTACACCATGGTCCAATCCCTTTAACCCTTCTTTGGAAATGTCGCTCACAAATATCGACATCCCAGCCAGCGTCGCGGGCAAAGTCAAAGGGGTTGAGGTGTGGTCGCGTTCCCTGCAAAACCATCGGGGAAGGAGGCACCAACTATGTCTGATTTTGCATCAGGGTTGGCAGAATGAGCAAATGAGAGGGTTGCTCCACGCCCCCCTGAAGAAAAGGTCTCACCGGTTGTAGGGTGAACGGAACAGCCATGTGGGTGTCTCTTTGTTCAAGGGGACCCAAAAAATGTGGTTGTCCTTTCGATTTCCCTTTCAACCCGAAAAAGGTTACCCTCAAAAAGCACATGCCAGTTTGTTTCCACAAGGTCTTGGGGGCCTTTGGGGTCGCATCAGAGACCAGCCACGATGCGCATATTACCTTCGCTATGCGCCTCTCAGTATTCCCTTCGGCCCCAAATGACCATGGGAAACTGTTCTCATCATTTCTCATGTAGTGGTGAAAGTCATCTTTTTTGGTGGTTTCCCCATTTGTCACCTTGATATCCCATCCTTTTTTTGGGAGTGCGAATCGCAGTTGGGAGCTTTCCCCCATAGTTTTGATTCCGCTCAGCGATCGCCAGTGCAACTTGCTGGACGACCAGCTGGTGGACGTTCTCTTGGACAGCGCCGCGGGGGGAATAAACACCGTGGAGCGCGAGGGTGTGAGCGCGGTGCCAAGGGGAGCGGCCGAGGGAAAGTTGTGGATGAGGCTGTTGGCAGGGAAAGCCAATGGACACCCAACAGTCCTTTTTTTTTTTTGCTTCAATGGGGAGCTGTTCTTTTGCAACCAAAGGAAACGCCGCTGGTGTGTTCCCGGAGACAGTGGCTGTTCTTGAAGATGTGTTCCAAGCAGCTGAACCAATCTGGACAGCTGATTTTTCAGCCAAGTCCCAAGTGGTGCGCATGTCGGCGTTTTCAAGCATTTCCCGGGAATTTCCTTTCTTTTGGTTTTCCTTTCCAATCAAGGCAACCTGCCGAAAGGACATGACTTGACCCCAAAGAGACCCCCTCCCAAAAACAAGTGCTTGGAAGGTGTCCTGGGGATTCCTGGGGCTAGCAATGACCTAAATGACCCTTCTAGATGCTCCAAGAACCGAGTGTGTTTATTCAATATCAGATGAATATCCGGGTGTGTCTTTTTTGAGGGTACCCTTTTTGGTTGGTTTTAAAGGGAAACTAAAAGGGAAAGCACAATTCTGTAGGTCCCCTAACTGAAAAGTGATACTGTTCCCTCTGTAAACATCAAAATCAAGCGTCGGATCTCAGACCAGATTTATGTTGCCAGGCTGAACAAATACTCACTCCCCGAGTTCCCGGACTTTAGTCACTTGCTGGTGGACCATTTTAGTGGTACACAACTAACTTTTTGTCTGCCAATCCTTTCAGGAAGTGAGAATCCGAAGTAGTCACAGAGCATCATTGATGGTGCAGCCCAGAGTTGGGTCAAGAAGCAGGAGTTCCGCCTCGCCCGATTTCCAGGAGGCCAAGGTGACTCCCCAAGCCGCACAGAAGGGCCGCCCCGAATCGGCCCCGGCGGTTTGGATTTGTGATTCTTTGGTTTGAAGTTGAAGCCCCTGGTTCTTGTACGCGGGTACACGGAATCCATCCCAAACTCCAAACAATCCACAGTCCGAAATCGAGGGAAGCAGGAAGAAGCGGAAGACTGCTTCAAGCATGCCTCTCAATGCTCAGACGTGTTTGGATCTTTGGGCTCTTTGGCCGGTGAGGACGCCTTGGCCGCCAACCGAAGAAGCGGGTTCAGCCGCGAAAAGCTTCCAGCAGAGCATTCGCCTGCATGATCGGCTTCGTGAGAGGGGTCAAGAGCTCCAACTTGCCAGAGACCTGGTCCGATGAGGACGGAGAGGTGCACTGCAAATCGATCTTGATGTGCAATGGTTTCCCTCTTAGATATGACACCCAGCCTGAAGCTAAAAATGGCCCGGTGATTCCATTTCCCGGTATAGTAGAGAACCAAGTCCCACGCGTGAACAACTAAGAGGATGGTGGCTCCTACCATAGTGGCTGGCTTGGACTGTGGGAGGTGCAGAAGGAGCTGCATTCCCAACACCTTTAAACAAATCCTACTGGACCCCAAAGAAGCAGGCAAAATGGACCCTCAGACCAACAAAAATGGTTTCCACAGTGATTCCAGTTACCAGTACATGTAACCCAGAGGTTCACTTTTTGATCAAAAGGATTGCCTACGGTTCAACACCCAAGTCTAAATGATGAAACTCCACGATGACACCGGCTGGTTTTACTGGTTTCAATCCCAGGTCGAACATGTCTGGGTACCTCTGGCGACTTCGGGATCCACTGGCTTCAACGCTTTTCCACCGAGGCGTGCGCCACCCCGCGCGCTTCGTGCTCATCGGCACCTCCCACCCTGATGAGGGCGACCTCAGGCGAATCCGATGTGAGGATCCGAGTCGGTGAGATTTTTGGGAACGTTCACCTGTACTTCCATCATTGCAGCACATGTTTTGTTATCCCACGGACACGGGTCCCCTTTCCTTCCGTTTGCGTTTTCAGCACATGTTTTGTTTTCCCACTGCATGGTATCAAATGGGATCTCTCTCTCTCTCTCTCTCTATATATATATCATTATATATCTCACTACTGGACATATGTTCACATTTGTTCCATGGGGCGAAAAAGCAAATTGATGTTTACACTTTACACATCGCCCCGAAGGAATAATTTACTTTATGGCCTTAAGGTGATGTTTCAACGAGGCAGAAATTCAAAAGGGGCTTGTCTTGACGTGGTTGGTTTCCACTGGCCATGCAAAAGACCCTTTGAGAAACACCTCACAAGACTAAGACTCCAGGGTTCTTCGGGGTTTGGTTTCCAGGTAGATTATAACTTGCCCAGAGTCGGAGTGGGAAGCTTTGAGGACGGAAGGTTGAGGACTTAGACTGGACAATCATGGCTGCGTTTTCTTTTAGAAAGCCAACTGTATTTATGTGTGTCCCTATGTTTAGCAGGAATCACTGTGTTTAGGGTCCCCTATGTTTCAAGGAAGCCATTGTTTTCGGAAGGAAGCCGCAAAACATTTGTTGATGTGCAATTGAAGCTAAAAGCACATCAAGCGCTTGTAGCCCACCCTATGCTTGGAAACGCTTGGATAATTTGGTTGCGCGTGTGCTGGAAACTAGGGTAAACATGGTTCCAACTTGGACTAGGGTAGACTGACCATTACAACTCACGAACCAGAAACGCTGTGAGAAGATCAGCGGCTCGCAATACAGGTTGTTCTTATGATGTTTCCCTGGAAAGTTGGAAGCAGCCCTTTCTTGCTTAGGGCTCGTCAGAAAAATAACGGCGTTGGACCGTTGGACCACCCCAAAATGGGGGTGTTTCTTTGGCCTCTTTTGTTCAACTCTGAAAAGGGCACCGAGCCTCAAAAAGCAACTCCATTTGTTTTGAGTGACTGAATCGCCCCGTTTTGGACCTTTTGGTTTGACAAATGGCTTTTCCGTGAACAAATGGCTTTTCCGTAGCGATCGTCCGTTTGCTTGTTCGGGCTTGGAGCAGCTCGGGCCTCAGAAGCCCTGATTCAAAGCACCGTGCAAACAAAACCACCATTGTTTACCGTTCAGAAGAAACTCATCATCTAAGTTGCGTCCCAAGTCGCCATTCCTTCAATGGTGGCATTTTCACCCTGAGGCTCGACCTAGCCATCCACGCCATTCTTTTTGTTGGGCATCGGTTGAAATGTAGGGTGTCCTCTTTGCCCCATGTGGAAGGGAACATTTGGACGTGTCTTTTTGCCAAGATTACCCCTGCTTAGGGTTGCTTTTCGGGGTTGAACCCTGTCTTCTAAATCTCTACGCAGTTCCGATTTAGTAGCTTCAGATAAAATCTGATTTCCAGATATGCTTTGAAAATATATCCTTTCGTTGTTTAGGACTCCTCATTCCTTGCAAGCAATTAAACACAAACAACAAATGACTCCTCATTCCTTGCAAGTAAACAAGCCAACCAGACAGGGTGAGCATGTTTTAAGTTGTGTAGGACTCCTCATTCCTTCCAAGTAAACACAAATAACTAATATTTAGGGGTTGGTTTTTCATTCTTTTCAGCCATTGTTCTTTTCAAGAGCCAGCCATTTCCTCAGGGTTTTTGGTGGTTTTCCAGAAAGATTCGGATCCCTGGAAAGAATGGAACTGGAAGTTACCCCTAGACTGTTGGTTTCAAAGGGAATCTCTTGCTATTGGAAGTTTTCTTTTTGACATATTCTTTCCAGGGGACAGCACGTGGAAGGGTTCAACTTTTGCACCAAGGGGGAAGCTGATGTTGGACTGGTTTAGGGAAACCAAAGACGAAACCACCCAATAGGGCAAGCCGGTTTTTCCTCTGATCCGCGAGGCCGCAGCTGCTGGACCGTTTCGGTCTCACCTGCAGCATCCGCACCGCGCTGGCGGCGGAGCGGCGCATGCAGGCGAGTGGCGAGTCGTGTGGCCGCGTGCGAGTCGAAGTGCCCGAAGCCCGTAGGTTCCGTGTGGGTGGCTCGTTGCTCTTTTTTTTGAGTTGGCACCTTTTTTTTGTGGTTTTAGGGGGGAAACCAAGAGAAACACCACCAGTTTGGGGGGGGGGGTCACGAACAAAAGAAGGTCACTAACGCACACGCACACGCACCCACGTAAAGATGCCCTTGAAAATGGATCTGGAGGGGGGGAAGCCGAAATCTATGGGGGAGTGCCACTTTTTGCCGGCCTTCCTTCGCGGTTTAGCCCATGGGTTTGGCAATAGCTGGTCGGCTTCCTTGAGGGGCTGTGAGCCTCCCTCCCTTTTGCTTCACGCCATCGACCTTTGGGATTGCTTGCTGGGGCGACCCTGTGGTTTTTTGCATGAAATACCCTCCCGATCCTAGCTGATCGGAAGTTGTGGGAAGACTTCGGACTCTTGTTCAGAGTCCCCCTGTCCACATCATTGTTGGAAAGGGGACATTTGGGTGTGTCTTTGTTTAGGGAAACCCTTTGCGGCTGGCAAGCCACTTTTTTTTGTGGGAGGGGGGGGAAAGCGACGGTTGCACCCCGCCGAACCCCCGGAACCCGTTTTCGATCGGGCCCCAAACCGTTCGTTTTCTGGACCATGGACGAACCGCTACGGGAGTCAGCCATACATGAACGGTTGCTTGGACCTAGAACAGTTGTCTCAAAATGTGGCGCCCTTTAGGCTGATTGAAAGGCAAGCCCCCACTCGTAACTCTCAGTGAAACGCACACGGCGGGGGAGGGGGCTCCAGAGGGATGATTTCCTTGCAGCAGCAATTCGTCCAACTCTGAACCCTTGCCCTCCAAGATGCGTCCAATTGGTCGGGTTTAGTGCTCCTTGGGGTTCAAGCCACTTAACAAGAAAGCTGTTCGTGTAAGCACCATTGCTTTCCTAGCTCATCTAGATCGGGTCAATCATTCTTTGAATGGGGGTTGAACCCTAAGGTGTTGACCTCTGATTAATAAACCTCCCACTTATTTCTAAGGGGGTTCCTCGTTTTGGTGGGGATTCCTTTCTTCCAGGACTCCTTTGATTCTTGCTTAATTTCTGGGAGGAGGGGTTCATTGAACCAGGGCTCAACATGGGAGCATTGGAGTTTCGGGGTTTTGGCCGACCGTGTTGGCCAAGCCCCGCGTTTTTCAGGTCCTGTCGCGCGCCTACGAGTGGAACCAAACCCCCGAGAAGATCGAAGCGCAGTGGGCCTCCACGGACCCCGCGTCTTTTCGCCGGGGCATCTTCGTCGCATTTTCGTCGGGAGGGTTGAGTCGGGTTTTCTGGGGGGACCCGCTCGCTCGCGTTTGCGAAGCTTCAGAGGTAAAGGTCTGACCAGCTCGGGGTCGGAAAAAAAACCGGGCCCCCAAGAATTCTGGGATAAGATGCGCTAAAACATTCATGCCCAGGCCCTTGAAAGTGAAACTAGCAGGAGGTTGTTTGAACAAGGGTGGTCTAAACCTGGGTTTCTGCCTTCTTTGAGGGTGCCCATTTTGGGTTTGTTTCAAGGGAAGCCAAAAGGAAAGCCAACCCCTGGGCTTCGCGAAACCTCCAGCCCGAGTGGCATCTCCCGGGCTGATTTCGTCCCTAGGACCCATGGCTGTGAGTCGTTGCAAACCCGCCGTAGTCTTCTTTTTCCTTGTGGTCTTGGTTGTAACTCTGCATATTGACATGGGTAACCCAGAAAGGGGCTAATTACAAGAGCAGGTTCTTCTTTTTTGGTTCCGTCTGAATCTGCAGGAGTGTATACTAGGCCTTGGAATGAAGTTTCCTCAAGGAAGCCGGCTATGCGGATAGCTGTGGAGTGGGGATTGTTTCCTTTTAAGACCAGCAGGAATGTGTTTTCAGTAGATCAGCCCCCAAGCACATGTTTGAGCTCCGCCCTCAGAACTCACCCGCCCAAGGCTCACGACTACTGCCCGGGCCTTCAAAAAGGAGCTCTTTGACTGCCCTGGGTTGTCCCCAAAAAGGTCAACCCCTCAAACTAGAGCTCCATGAGTCCAAGGCCTTTGGGGTGCCCCTTAAAAAAAGTCACCACCCCGCCCTAGAAGGGTCCATATGCGTCCACGCATCTTGCCCGCTCGCGCGTCCGGTTGGGCGGGTGTTTCGGTTTTTGGGATCCCGTGGATGCCATTGCCTTGCCCAAAGAAGCCGCGAGGACGAGGCCTTCAAGAAGCTGGTGGTGGACTCCCGGGAGAGGCTGCGCCGCGGCAGACATCGGTTTCCGCGACCTTTCTTGGGCGTGGCAACCGATAGAAACAACCAAAGGGGGAGGTTCCCTCCAAAAAAGACCCAACCAGATAGGGATGTGTCCGTTTTTGCCTTCATATCGTTGGCCAGAAAGTGATTTTCCTCTGGTTTTCCTTATTTTGTTTGGTTCCCCTCCAAATGAAGCGCAATTTTGGGAAACAAGTTTCTGAGGGCTCATTCTGCATTGTCGCTCACAAATCACTGTTCCACTCATCCGCCTTTTCTTTGAGTTGATTTCCTTTTTGGGCTTGATCTGAGACAGGGCATCAAAGGCTCCTTTGAAAAGTGAGCCAGAAGCCAATTTTTGAGACAACCCAGTTGCAGCGCTGGTCCCTTTTCCTGGTCCCCTGGTTGCAAGTACGGGGGCATTTTGAGACCGAGTGTTGGCAGCAGCCGCGGGGCAAAATACGGGTTCAAACAGCTAGGCCCTACCCTTTGAAGAGAGGCCAAAAAGAGGTTGCTATTAGACAGTTTGGCAGTTTGAGCCAAAGTCATGGTTTCAACAGTTGGTTGGCCTCAACGGTCTCATTGGAGTACCTGCTGGCTTTTCCCGCCAGCCTTGGGGATAGTCCGGCAGAGGTGTTCTTCGCTTTGGGTGCACGCGACCTTTCTTTGGGGTTTTGAACGGCTCGGGGAACTTGGCTCGTGGTTTTACACCTCACCTGGGCCAGTTCAACGTGTTGAGTCGGTGGCCTTTTTGGCCTTGCAAAAAAGAAACCAAAGGCCGCCAAGGAAAGCCCAGTTTGGGACAAGCCCAGATGCAACGAGGCAAACATGTTGGAGGGCAGTTCCCTTTCCTGTTTTTGGTGGCGCTTTGAGACGAACACATATTTGAGAACTCGGCCCCAGCCGTGGGGCAAGATATGTTCAAACCACTAGCCCCCTGCAAAGCCCAAAGGAGGTGATCATTTGGTGGCTCAAGGCGTAAGCCAGAGCTTAAGTTGGCCTCACCCAGACGAAAATTTGAACTGATTTATTTCGTTCTTGTTGGAGTACAAGTAAGCCCGTCAGTCACGTTGCGGATGCTAGTCTGACCGGGGTCCCCTTCGGTGTGGGGAAGGCATTCGACAAAACCCCGCTCTTTCTTGTTGGGGTTTGAAGGGACCTCCCTTGCCCGGGAACTTGGCTCTTGGTGGTTTTGAACATCACCTTCTGTGCCACTTTTGGATAAATTCCCCTTTGGGGTGTGATGTTTATGATACCGGGAAATGAGCGTGTCTGTTTTTTTTCTTTTTTTTTTCTTTTTTTTTCGTGCATGCCTTTTGGAGTTGGTCAAACACAAACGATTCCGCTTTTTTCCATTCTTTCATCTTTTAAAAGAAGACACACCGTGCTGACGGGCGAAAAAAAAGGAGAAAAAAGGGACGACGACGCCTCCTGCGTGTCCACCCCGCCCCTTTCCTCGTAAGGAAGGGCGTGAAGATGCCGCACAAGCTGGCGCTGCAGGTGTCCACCGTGTGCTCCAAGCCTGGAGCCCTGGGACGATGCTGCTTCTTTTTTGGGGCGAAGGGGGAGGGCTCGCTCGGGTTTGGTGGGGTTTGAGGGCACCGCAAAGGGGGGTGGCTCGGTTTTGAGGCTAACACATCGCTTTTGGGGGTTTGAGGGTAAAACTGAGCGTTGGGGGTTATCCCTATTTTGACCCATACCATTTCAAATTGGTGAGTCGTGGTTTTAAGGGTGCCTACTCATCCATGGCAGTCGATGGGTTTGGGTGTGTTCTTATTTGTTGATTTGTTGAAAGGTGTGTTTTCCTTCATGGGGTCGCCTTTGACCTTGGCCCTAAAGGGAAACCAAACAGCCGCCGACCCATCTTGTTTTTGGAACCACCGCCCAGTGGTTTGACTCCCAAACAAAAAGAAGCAACCGCCCAAATCGATCGCCTATAGCAGCCGCCGTCCCAGGCTTACGTTGTCTCGAAATCGGGGAACCTAAAAATGGGCGGTTTCCTTTTGGTTTCGCAGAAAACATCCACCTAAAGTAGGTCCACCAAAAATGAGAAGCTGCCATATGGCTTTGTCGAATCTTGGAACTTCCCAAAATGGTTGTTTCTCCTTTGGTCCCCCTGAATAACCCAATCCAGGAAGGACACCCTTGAAAAAAGCATACTGCGGACGGACGAAATCCACAAAACACACCAATTAGGATGGACGAAACCCCACGAAGACTGGGAGAAACCAGCAACATCAAACTGGTGCCAAGCGGATTTTGTCAATCCACAGCTGCAGGGTTCTTCCAAACTTGCCAGGCTTTGCTGGATATGCCTTGGCTGACAAAACATACTTCCCCTTTTGAAATCCCGTTAAAGGTAGCACTAAATGGGTATGTGTGAAAATAGAGAACCCCAAACATGGATTGCGGTTGTCATTGTAGTTTCCCTTTAAACCAATCCTCAAACGGGACCCCCTCAAAAAGGCACAGCCCCCGAATGTCGCCCGGGTTCTAAACTGTTTGGATGGCATGTTGCAGTGTCTAGTACGTTGACATTGGCGTCATGTCGCGGTTGTGTCTTTTACCCCTCTGGACTGACGTTGTAGTCAAAGTGGTATCCTTTCCCTTTAGCCCCGGGATTCCACCACCATTCGATATGGCAGCCACCATTGTGTACCGTTCAGGAGTTTCATCCAAATTGGGTCCGAAGTTGCCAACTCTTCAAAATGAAGTCGGTGGAGCGCGTGGCTTTAAGCTTCATGGAAGGTGTCTCCATCATTTTTGTCACCCTTGGGCATCCCGAGCCTCTAGTGGCGCTTTTCCTGTTCTCCCCTCACTGGAGGTCTACTGGGTTCTCCTCGTTAAACATATTGTTCGTGGGGTCGACATAACGAAGACAACGGTCAAAACAACATGTGTTCGTTGCAGACAAGAACAAAATCACCGCGCACCCCGGATGTGGGCCAAGCCTGGGATTCGTGATTGACCCCAACATCGATCGGAGGTTGAATGTGGACGGCCTGCGAGGGGACATCGTCACGAATCGTGCTGCGCTGGGAGCCGAGAAGGACGGAGCTTGAAAAGAGAAAGTGTTTGTTGCAATACCTGGGGTCTTTAAAGGAGAAGCACATGTTGACTGAGTATGACACAAAATCAGTTTGTTGACATAATATGAAGGTTCGCAGGGGCATGATTAGATGCGGCCGCCCTCCTTAAATAGCAGGTTTGTATTATAAGGAGTGCTTATGAGGAACCTTCAATTATGAGACTTACGGGATCCTTTGCAAGGACTCCTATATTGTTATTGGACTGACAACGAGTAAATGGTGTTCATCTTCACCAAATTTCCATGGGGCCCCCGCGGGATGTAGATGGTACATAGCTTCACGCTGTGATCCGCCTTGTTGTATGTGGGCGCATGTGAAAATCGGGGTTTGGACCGGAAATGGCTCAGTTCTCCGTTGGTTTCCCTTGAACGCAAGTTGGAAAGGGCTCTCAAAGCCCCACACCTGTCGCCTGGGCTGACCCAGAGGGCGCAAAGTGTTTCTTTTTTTGGAAGGAAAACCAAAAGATGGAAACTAGGTCCCCCAGTAGTGCCCTTCTCTCCCCTTTTTTGGGGGCTACAGAAAAAGGGTACCCTTATTCTAACCTCTCTACTGGAGCACCTAGTAAAGGTTGCTCCGAGCTTCTAATGTCCAACTCTCAAGAGCGAGCACTTGGTTTGTCTCCCAGATTCTCTTCATTTCAACTCTGGTTGGTTGCCCGGCGCTTCCTGGGGCGCTTCCTTGGGCCTGAGTTGGATCAACCGGCATTCCACGCGCCCAGTAGCAACCACGTTCTCCTTTTCCAAAGACTCCAGGTATACAATACTTACCCAATTTTATCCTTTCAATGGGTCAGCCCCGCCGGCACATTTTGCCCACATGGATTGTGTGGGGTTTCCTTCTGCAGGGGTGAAGTGCTTCCCCCGAGCAGCGCCCAAAGCGGATTCTTAAAGGCAACTTGGGTGGGTGGTTCTATTACCTTGCACAACGTTTTTGCGTACGGCCTACGTGAACTTTTATGCCCATCTTAGCAGCGTGAGCTCGGGTTTTGGTGGCCAAGGAAGCCTCGAGCCTGAAGCGCCGCATTGACGGCCATGGGCCGAATTGGATCCATGCCCCAGGTCGGACGAATGAGCCTAGCGGAAAGCTGCTAGGGGATGTTTTGTAACCAACCCACAGGAAAGAACTTCAAGAGATGCGTTTGTCCTGAGGACCCCCTGAAACAGGTCTCCCGTTGAATCACGTTTCCCTGGTGCTCAGCGAGGGAATCATAGGTGTCCTTTTTAGGTGAGCCTGGTTAAACATAGATGGCACTGGTTTAGATGGGGTTTGTTCCATTTACCAGGGCCACCTATTTTTCCAAAAGGCTACCTATGGAGGGAATGGCACTTGTAAATTATAAACCATCCCTCCAAGCGAATTCCCCTTGAACCGCAAGAAGCCGTATTTGGAGGGTCACGCCCACCGCGCCGAGGCGAGCCTTGGCCGCCCTTGAGCGGCGGAGCGAGGTCACCGAGGAGGACTGAGAAACCGGGGCTGTGTCGCCCATGGCTTGAGGAGCTGTTTGGTTGGATCTGTGGCTGGTGTTGGACTATGGGGTGTGTCAAAACCAGAAACCTCCCTTAGTCTTCCAGTTTCGAGATTCAGTCCCGTGTCCCGAGTCACGGACCTGTTTAGCTTTTTTCAATTTGGGGAACCTGTGCTTTCTGACAAATACTCAAAACGTCAAGCTTTTGGCACGGGCCAAACTACCACCAAGATGGTGAAGGTCCCGCGGCTTGTTGTTCACCAGTTGGTGAACTTATTGTACGCTTCCCATGTTGCCATGTAACCCACGTAGAAGTGACTGGATTTTTTGATGTCCACCACAGGTCCCGAATCGAGATTCATGACCAGAGGACGCCTTTCGGAGGAAATCCTTCTAGGACCTCCCGGGTTCCATGTTGAGCGGTGGGGAACGAGGAAACCGTTGGTTCAACCTGGTGTCAACAGAATGTACTAAGATATAACAGATGTACTACTAAACAGGCGCTGTTGCCCTGAATTGGCCGTGGTGCAGCTGTACCTCGTCTTTGAGAGTGGCGGGTTGGTTCAGTTGCACTTCCCGGGGGGTGCTGAGGCAAGAGCGATCTGGTAGGATGCCTTGCGGCCCTGTTCTTGGACGGCATTTGCTGACTTTATGTTGGCGATGTGGAGAGTTGGAACACCTTCAAGGGTTGGTGGACGTCAATCCCCATGTTACTTGGGTCCACCATCCCCATTCAATAGCGGCAGACTTGTTGTGAGGTCAGGAGACTTCGGTTTTATGCATCCAAGTAGACTTCCAACCTGAAAATATTGCGGGTCCCAAGGGAAGTCAGGAGGTTTCGGTAGAGCATCCAAGTAGATGTTCTCAAAACAGGAATCGGACACCTAAAGATGGCAAGATTTTCCTTTTGGTTTCCCTGTATCCACAAAGGGACCCACCTGTCTCTCGCCCAGGACGTGCGGCGCGTGGCGCCTTTGTGCCTCCAGCACCGCCTGCGCAAGGACTCGAATCGAAAGCGAAGGGCGACAAATCTGTTTGAAGGGAAAGCAGCTTGTCCCGGTGTGCCTTTTTTTCTGATGTGGACCCCCAAGATGGACTTGGAGTTTTCTTTTGGCTTCCCTTCAAAAGGGCAAAGAAAGGGTCGCTCAAAGAAAAAAGACACACCCATCCGGGGTGTCCTCCAGAAAACTACTGATGTTCTAAGTCTTACGAGAAACGGTCAATATTTTGTTCCTGTCATCTACGGCAAAGATGCCGTGGGGCACACACTCCAAAGGGGGGCCGCACGGCATCTTCCTGGATTCTTGCGTGGCTTTGGGGGTGTCTTGAACCCTAAAGTGTTTCCTCTAGGCCAGCGTGGGAGCGATTGGATCTTGCTGCTCCACCCCTTTCCTGAATGAACAAGTGCAAATTTCTGGGCTTCCATGGAACCCCCAAACTGCTGGGTGTCCTTTTGGTTCCCCTCAAACCCAGCCCCAATACAGGTACCCCTTCCTCCCAAAATCAAAACGAGCCACCCGCCTCCCCATGTCGCAAGAAATTTTTGAAGGGTTGTGAGGTTGGAAGCGTCCACCCCAACGGAGCCATGGAAAGCATGTGGGGGGCTTGATCAATTTGTCGTCTACATGTGACTTTCTGCGGAAAACTCAGCAAACAGATGACAAACTCCTACTTACCGATGGTCATTTGGAGAGGAGTATGGATGTAGGCATGGTTTTCCTAACCATGGGGGGATTCCTTTAAGAGAACTATACTTCTGGCTTACAGAAGTATGTACGAGCACATTGGTAGAACCAAAAGTCAGCACGGTTCCGAGGACGTCGTGTCCGACACTCTGGACAACACAGCGCGAGTGGTCAAGGCCGCAGCTCGCTGGGCTCAACGCGCGAGCCGTGAGGGCTGCTTGGGTTGGGCCTTGTGGGGCCTCGTTTTGAGCGGTCTTTTGATGGAAGCTGGAAAATGGGCAGCCCGCAAGAAAAAAGATAGGACCTTTTCTGGGGGAGACCCCAAACGATGCTAGATTTTAGGGTAGAGTCAACATGGACTCCGCGTCACGTGATTGTCAGTGCGCACATGTGGGCCAAGTATTACTTGAACAACCCTTTTGGTACCTCAGAGCCAGGGAGTCTTCAGGAAACCAAGGGGGGGAAAAAACAACCGGCCACCCACTCAGCTCGCCCCAATCGATTGGCCGCGCGTTTTTGGGAGCTGGGGAACCTTGGCAAGCAAGATTCTGAGAACACGGTTGGTCCATGGCATGCTCAGTGAATTTACAGGGGGACTGGTTTTCACTATTAGACTATCTCACGTGAATTAGGGGGAACAAGTCTATGATTTTGGCCGTGGCTGAAAAGGTCATTCCCAACCTTACTTCACCCTCAAAGATCAACAGCTTCTTGGCTTATGCTTTCTGTGGCCTTGTGGCCTGGACTGAGGGTACGTTTTTTTTTTGGGTTTTTTCCCCGGATGTAAAGGGAAACAACAAAGTTTATGTGAAGCTCAGTTTGGCATTCCAAATCCGACCAGTTTTTCCGGGGAGTTCAACGTTCGGTGCTTCCAAGGTCTCTTTTTGGGCTGCCGTGATGAAGTCGTCGCCATTGACGACCTTCGCACTGTATGACTTCCCCGTGGTTTAACCACCTTTCGCAACGGAATTCATTTGCTGCATCCCCTCCCCCAACCCTGCCAACACCAAACTACCCCACAACCCCCCCAACCCACCCACCCACCCACCAACCCACCACCAAACCCTCCAAAACTTCTCAAAGCCCACCCCCCACCGCGGCCTTTGGAGGTGCTGCTGCAGGAGTTTGGGGAGGGCCCGCCACCCATCCGCCCCGTGATGAAGTTCCTGGAGCCCGGGACCCGAAGAGTCAGATTTGCTTCGGGGCCTTTGCCGCGCCAGCTGCGAACCTGAGACCTCCCCAGCTGCATGTTGGACCTGACAAGTTGCCTTCTCGTCCAAGATGCCGGCAGTTCAAACCCTCCCTTCCAGGTTGTCATCGTATCGTGAACTTCCAGGTCCCACAGGGAAGGGTGGCTCCTTGTATCAGGAATTTGTGCCATCCACTTTCACCCTGGTGTAGTACCGTGATGAAGTTCCTGTTTGTTTCCCATTGAAGGGTAGGGGCTGACTGTGATAGCTGTGATAGCCCAAAGTTTGGGCCCCACCCTGACAGCTTAAGGGGAACCAGGATCTGGTTCTTGGCTCGTCACAATGACGTCATGCTTCAGGGATGGGGAGGGGTTGCGACATCGTCCATAGTGAAGGCTGCTTTCATGGGGGTCCAAGAAGATGTTCGACAGGGACCGGACTTGACCAGACGCCAGTGGAAAGGGAAAACCACATATTTTGGTGGCCAACCAAGGGAAACCAAACATTGAAGTGCCATGGGGCAACCACCCGTTGGACCCCCCCCGGTTTTAGGTGGCCAAGGGAAACCGGTTTTAATTTGAGCGAGTAACCAAGGGAGAATCTCTTGCCAGCTAGGACCCTTCCTGTATTTCCAAATGTTGTGGTTTTAAAAACGTCACCTTTCGGGCCCTGCACAAGCTAAGTTTCCTGGGTGATGTGTTAAGGGCAACTATTGGGAACCCGGTGTTTTCCCCTGCTTGTTTTGGAGTCGGTACCATTTTTTAGGTTGATGTGAAGGGACGTTAAATGGACACCACCATTGGGGGGTCCACAATATGTTGATGCTTCCAAGCTACAATGTTCCATTGTGCAGGTCTCTTTATAGGAAATTGTTGTGTCAGGCTCTGGGTAGTACGTAGGTTGTTTGATCGTCAACCCCCCCCACCCAGTCATCCCCCTTAGAATCATTGTTATAACTTGCAACCCACGTACTGAGCAGGTAAGAACGTGCAAGAAGGACTAGGCTTGGCTACGTGGAACTCCAAAATGGGCAAAGCTTTGGTTTCTCTTTGATTTCCCTGCAAGAAGGATGCCTGCACTCGATTGTAGTTTTTGCTTACAATTTCAGGCTCGTTTTCTTCTACCCCATATGTCAGGTAGCCTTAGTGGTGGTTTGGATTGCTGGTTTGGGGATTTTGCACGCCTGCTAGCAACTTGAGGGAAGCTGGCTATTCTCTTTGTTTGGGAATGTGTCAAAATGGGGATGGTTTCTCATTGGTTTCTCTTTACCCAACCTCAAAACTTGGGGTAAAAAAAATCAGGGTGCAGCGTTTCTTCGCCCCTCCAGACTTTGCCCGGAGTCTGCCTACTGACAACCCCAGTTCAGTTGGTACCCAAAGAGAAGCCAAACAAAAAATGGCCATCAAGCATCGGCTTCTTCCCTTTGGCCAACTTCAAAAAGTTGTCCGAAGCTCGCCTCAGGCCCACGCCGGCGTGAGAGAGTGAGCGAGCCGCTCCCACTGAGCTGCGCCATGGCTTCGGCGGTTGGTTTCCCTTTGAACCAATATCTGAAAAGGGTACCCGCAAAGCAAAGAAAAAAGGGGGCTTGGCAGAAATATGAATTTGAATAGGGAACCTCAAAAGTGATTGGCGGACATGAATCCCCACCTAAACGATGTCCACCAAAGGGTCCCTTGTGAAAATTTATAGCCATATCCGAAAAGGGCACCTGCAAAGCAACCCACACACACACACATACCCAAGCAAGGGCTTGACAGAAACAAAGCACATTTTTAATCATCTTGTGAGTCCAGGATTGATAAATTCATATTGGTTTCCCAAGATACATCAAACCCGCCGATCAGTGGGGTAGTGAGGTGTAAGTCCCATAGACCGCGTCCTTTGGGTGGACCATGTTGATCCGCCAAATTTGCGAATCCGGGTCGACATTCGAAAATGAGGCGGCGTGTCTCAAATAGGGAATGTATATATTTTGTGCGCACCAATGCAGCTTCCATTTTTGTCTCATGGCCATTTGCGTGAGAGACCTCATCAGTCCAGATGTGAGCAATCCGAGGAGGAACCCGGGTTGGCACAACGGGCTCAACTTGTTTCATCCACGACCCACGATTTGCCTACACGCTAAGGGGGAGTTGCCCAATAGTAGTCCCATTTTTCTGGGGATGACGGGCCTGGGTCGGCCAGTGGGAGAGCCGCCAAAATGCATCGCAGAAGTGCATTTGACAGAAACGCGCTCCCAATGTGTGGTGCAACACGCATGTGCAAACAGATCTTCTTTCAATGAAACGAGTGTTGCTGGTTTTGCAGCAGTCATTCCCCATCTTGGTGACTTGCTTGGCTTGCTTGAGTCCAGAGAGCCAATCCCAAAGGCAGAACACTGCTTGATTGCGTGAGACCGCTTGACTAAGCTATCTTATGCCATTCGAAGCGGAGGCTTTGCGTGGGCAAACCTGCCACGTCGCTAATGGATGGCGTCTCCCTTGCAGATTCACATGCAGCTCAAGCAAGAGCCCCTTTTTAGGAACGGGGTCTCCTTTTTGGGGAACAGACTCCACGTTTTGGCGCAACCTATGTGAATTTGCAAGGGAGTTGGTTTTTCCCCGCGGCTGAACGACCGGTTTGCTGTCGGCTGACAAAAAGACCGTCTTGTGGCTTCGGCCTCAGAGGGGAAGGCAGGGAAGGCCTGCAAACTCAAGAGGAAACGGCTCCGGCACCAGGACACACGACCGAAGCCCTGCAAAGATCAGCACCGGAGGTTTGAATGGTTCAGTCTGAGCTGATAGCGCACCAGCAGCCTTGGCAACAAGAGCATGCATGTGACAAAATCGTCAGCAAATCGAATAGGTCCAGAGGGGAGCAAGAGCAGGATGAGCCGCGAACAGAGACGACACGCCTACCCAAGCGCCAGAGGAGCGCAGAACCTAAGGCAAAACGGGCATCATCTGCCATGAATGAGAAGAAATGCTGCGCCTCCAAGACCCAGTGCCATGTTCTGCGATCCCCTCCCCACCCCCGACCCTCCCCCACCCCCCCGCCTCCCCAACATCCCCGAGCAAACTCTCCAAGCCATGATATGTTGAAACATGATGTCATCTTGTCGGGAACCCCTCCGCCCCTTCTCGAGGGGCCCAGGAGGTTGCCTTTGCACCCGGATTGAACGCTGACGCCAAGCAAAGTTCGCCAGAATCGCTGGTGCCAGTCATCTTGTGCCACAATCAAACACCATGCGACGTGGGGTTGATTGTTGCTGATCAAATCTTTGTATACATATATATATATATATATATTATATATCTATATATATATATACATACGTCGTTAGTATTAGGCAGGCGCTGGGTGACATGATATGATTTAAATAGGATATGCGCTTGAGCCAGGATGTTATATGATTAGACCCAATGAGAATTTGTTACATAAACATATATAATAATAATAACAATAATATATATATATATATATCTATGTGTATATATATATATGTATATATATATACATATATATATATATATATACATACTGGACAACCAAGTGTCCATTGCTATTTGTCTCATGTGGGAAAAGACGGCTGACAACTTGCGACAACATTTTTCGGGATGCTTATCTTCTGACTCCTGAAGCCTTGGGGTCCGCCGCTATTCTTGTGACAAACCCTGGTCGAAGCAATCCGCTTGTCACAGCAAATTTCTATGACCCTTACTCACCCCAAGTCGGGGTCCCACAAAAGGAGATTCCTCCAAAAACGGTCTGTTTTTGAGTTTCATCTCAAACTGGGGAGTGGTCTCAGATATCCCCACTCCAATTTGGTCTGTCTCAAGATTCGGACTCCACGATGTGGGTTTGTGAAAAAGATTCGGGAATCCTGATAAATTTGTGATGTTGCCCCAAAAGAAGCAATGCGTTCCTTCTGGTTTCCCATCAAAGCCAACCAATGGGGGTACCCCGAAAATAGACACCCGCATCTATCTATCAGAACCTTGACTACCCAAATGTCCTACGGCAAATGCTCACCAAATATCCTTCCACCAAGCGCAAAAATCAAACACCAACCGGACGTGTCTTAAGATATGGAACCTGTGGCATGGTGCTTGGTTTACTTTTATCACACCACTGGAAAGAGAACGCTGAAAAGCACAGACACTTAGACACACGCAGGTCAACAGCGCGAATAACATCTATGAAGTCTAGGCTTTATTGTTGAATGCCTCCATGGATTCCCCCTTGAACGTGCTATCAATTGCTGGTTGCTGGACTACACACTTGGCATCTAGCAAGTTGTCTAGGTCAACACGATACCAAGGAATGCAACCACCGAGTGAATCTTCATGCGGGTGCCCCCCACAATTGTTTGAAGTTTCAAATCCACAACAACACCCCCCACGTGTTTCAAGTTTCCTTTAAATTCACAACAACATCGGGGCACATTTCACCTCAAGAACCCAGCCCATGCACCACGTTTCCGCTTACACGGTTGAAGGCCACTGCCTCCAAGTTGCCAAGCGGCCGGTGACGGGCGATCCAGTTCTCAGGCGTCTCGCTTTTGAAAAATCGCATGGGATCGTCCATGCGAGGTCTGGAACGACTATGGATGAACGGGGATAGGGAATCTGGAACGATGGGAACGACTATGGATGAGCAAGGATGGGGAATTATATTTTCACATGAGCCAAGTACGGCTCCGTACTTTCTCCTCGCGTTTCCCCGGAGGCAAGTCCCTTCGCTCCGGATTGCTTGAGGAGCTACCCCAACGTGGTGCCCTCAGAGAGCCCCGCGCTGCTGGCGGATGGCGCCCGCCTGAGCTTCGCCCACGAGGTTGGAACCAACGACTGTGGGACTGTGCGGCTTCTGTGGCTCGGTACCCTTGGGGGTTGAAAGGCAAAAGAAAGGTAGTCCTGGGCCCTGGGTTTTTGCACCCAAGCAAAGGCTCTTGTCAATCCCTGTTTTACTTTTGCCTTTGAGAGGGGTACGCTGTGGGCCCTAGTGCGTGGGGTTCCACTATTTTGATATTCAATGCATCCTTGTTTCGGGTGTCCCAAGTTTCCCGTGGTTTGTTACATCACCGTTCCGAAAGGCCAGCTTTGACGCGTGCGTTTGCTTGATGCCTAGAGGGGGGTCAATACAAGAAAGCGGGTCCTGTCACAAGCCAGAGATGAGCGGTAAGAACCACCACAGATCCAATCCATGCGGAAAGACGAGGACACGAAACGAAGCCCCATGGGTGACGCTGGCATCGACCCGACTTGTCGGGCTGGAATTGAGTTGCCACCAAAACCAAACACTAACGTAACTGTCAAGCTGTGTAGACAATGAAGCTAGAAGGGTCGACAGTCCCAGCATCCCCCTTTCCAGGCGTTTGCCCTTGTGAGATGAAGCTCTAAACCATAAAGCCTAATCCCCCTAACCAGGGTTTTGGGACCAAGAGGTTTATCCCCACTTCTGTGATACAAGGGAAGCTCCCTTTCTATGAACAAATTCGTCTTGGGAAGCCCTTTCCGTTGTATCACAGAAGTGGCCATTGCCCCACAGACCTGCCCCTAACCTACAGGGCTCCGTATATTTCGCCCTTGAACTGCACTCCACCACGGGGAAGCACATCTAAAAATTGCCCAACAGGTGATGTTGAAAACCACCAAAGGGGAACCCTGCTTGAGCGAACAGTGAATGCTACCAAACACTGATGCAGCAGCGTATGAGGGCATGGGAAATTTAGGGCTCGTTTTCTGGTTCTGGTCGAAATTTAGAGCTCGTCCCCCCTGCCGCTGGACACGTTTTTGGCGTCAGGCCTTCCTGGACCAAACCCAGTCGGCCGGCTTCGCGGCGGAGGATGGGCACATGTGCGCCCAACAGGGTTTGGCATGTCCGGTGGTCGTCTTCGGAGCTTCGATGTGGCTTGCGAGGTTGCTTTGCTTTTATCTGTTGGTTTCCTCTGTTGCCCAGCGGTGCCCTTTTTGCTTTTTTTTTTTTGTAAGGGTTCCCCTTTAAGCTCAACCAACAAAAACAGTTTGTGCCCTTGTTTTCCCACGGAAATCCAGGGTTTTTGGTGGTTTTCTAGAAAGAAGGATTTTCAGCCATCATTCTTTTCCAAAAAACCGATCGCCATTTCCCCAGGGTTTTGGGTGTTTTCCTAAAAGATTCGGATCCCTGGGGAAGATACCCCGAGACTGTGACCCCACTTGGTGGTTTGGATTGGGGGCTCCAAACCACCAACAAGAGGGAAGCTGATGTTGGACTGGTTTCAAAGGCAAACAAAGACGAAGCCACCCCATTTTGGGGTTCCCTATTTTGTGGCACACCCAAAGTTCATCAACCAAAAGGAGGGGCAAATGGCAAACCCCAGAAAAGACGACGGCGGTTTCTTTTTCTGTTCCTCTTGAAGCCAAGTTCCATGGCCTTTGCCGCATATTTTGGGGGTAGACTCATAGTGTCCTTTTTGGTTGGTTTGCTGAAAAAATAGAGGGCCCTGGTTTAGATGGGGGTTATTCCGTTTACCATGGCCATCTATTTTTTGAAAAGGCCACCTATGGGTAGACGAAATATGAAATAGACTTGGCACATCTTCTCTGTGTAATGGTGGGTCTGCTTTAATATTCCCCCCCCCCCCCCCGCCTCCCCCAAACAGTGCTAACAGTCATTGGGGGCCTCTTTGGTGAAAGAAGGGGGCCGGGTTGGTCTTGGACTTGCCAATTCGAAGCTTAGTATTGCCAATAAGACGTGGAGATCTCAGGTAAACCACCCTTTGAAAGGAAAGGCGAAGGCTTCACTCTTGGAATTTCACACCCATCAAAAGAAGCGAACCTCAAACCTGTCAGCTTAGACAGAATCAGGGCCTCTTGTGGGGCACCCCTTGGTGTGACTGTTTGGCCTTGGCAATTTGCAGGGATTTATCTAAAAGTCGCTGGTTTGGCCGGAGTTCCGAAATCTAAGTAAGGTCTTCAGCGGGAAGGGCTTAGATAAACCACGCATCAAAAATACAAAGCTAAGGGTTGAATCTGGTAAATTTTACCCGAACTTGGACAAAGTTTCTACGAGCGCGACCCTCGAAACAGTCACAGGATTCTGAATTAGGAAACACACTTCTATAAGACCGACCCCACATGTGAACCGGGTCCAGCATTATCCCTCTGCGGGCCAAGCTGAAAGAAAAACCCAGTTGTTCAGTGTTGTTGCCTAATTTGCGGAGGAAACCATAACGCCATGTTGACTTCATGTCAGCCAATATGTTTGCTTCAATAGAGGTGTATGTGGCCTTTGGCTGTTCTTTCCGCACGTGAGGAAAATCCTTTCTGGTTCTGTTCATTGGTGGGGGTTGCAAAAAGCGGAACAACAGCACGTGGTTTTGTGCCATCCGGTTTGGGACTTTCCGGACCCCTTGTGCCCTGGATGAGCGTATAAATCTCCAAGCTGAGTTAAAACGAAAAGTAACGCAAGCGGTCATGTCTACACAATCGTCACTTGGGAGTTGGGGTTTGAGGGTTTAGAGGCTTGGAAAGAAAAGTCATGGTCAACAGTACATGGAAAACAGCCAAATTCGGGTGTTTGGGTGCAATTTCCCGTAGCTTTTCCTGTAAGTTCACCCTTTGACCTGGGGTTTTGTGGGTTTTTGGGCCAGGGTTTCCAACGCACCAGGGCCATTCTATTTGCCGGGTGGCTCGCTCCACCCGGGTTCCGCCGCCAGGTACTGCGTGGCGCCGGTGCGGAGCCACGCCTCCGAGACCGCGGTGAACTTCTGGGCGGCCGCGCGTTTCAAATCGGGCGACGAGGGGATCGAGCTGGTGGAGGGATGGGAGGTTTGGGGTTGGGTTCCCCGGCGGCCCTGGAGATTTGGGTGTGGCTCAAAACTAAAGATCCAGGGTGACGCAGGTTTTGGTCTTTGTTTCCATTTATCATCAAGGTGCAATTTTGGTACATGCTTTTGAGCCGTAGCCATTTGTTTTTTCTCTTTTCCTACCTGGCGTGCAAAAGAAGCTGGGCTCAGGCTAGCCAGTGAGTGAAACCCATCCACAGGTGAAGACGTCCATTTGTTGGAGGATGTTTTGGCGGAGGTTGGTGTGTGTTTTCGAAAGGCTCCGCTTCCATGGTGGTTTAAGTTTGGGCCCGCAAGATGTGTTTTTGATTGGAGGGGCCCTGTGCGGGCTTTTCGTTGGAGGGGGACTGCGTTGGAGGGGTCATCAGCCTTTAGGTAAGTTCTTACCCGTTGATTCTTTGGGGCTGTAAGAAATCCCTCGCGGACCAGCGGGGTTCAGCTTTGCAGCCGAAGCAACAATCAAACAAGAAATTTTATTTCATACCCCTACTCCAAATATCCATCTTTTTCAGGGTATCATGCCAACCCTCTACTAAAAAGGAGGAATGTGCCATGGAAAGCCATACTTTCCAAACAGTACCGTAAAAAAGAGGGTGTTTGGAGCACGGGGTAGGCGATCATGTATTTTGCAGTTGGAACATGATCATTGTTCAATATCAAAGATGCTTCGGCTCTGACTGCATTTGTCAGAATCAAGCTGGTTGCTTATACAAGTCTTTAAAGGGTTTCATCCCAACTGGCCGAAGTGGATTTTGTTCATCCTCTGTCTTTCTTGTTCTCACTTTAATTTGCCGATTCGGGGATGTCCTTAGGGGACCATTCACCGGGAAACAGGGTTTGACTGGTGGTTTCGCCCGCAAGTGCGTGGCATCGTCTGAGGCAGGGGTCGACTGCTGCGGCCTCAGCGGGCGCTTCCACTGCGACGCTGCGCCTGCGCAGACCGGTGCGCTCGCTCCCCTCGGAGGGTTTGGGGGGATGAAGACCAAGGGTCGCGACGCTTCGGTGGCTGCCCTAGATATGTCTACGAAACTTAGAGAACCGCCTCAAAAGTGGGTGGTGGACATGAATCGAGACCCACCGAATTCTGATGTGCACCAAAGGGAACAAGACAACTGAACTTCCATTTGCGTTTCAGACTCTGTCTAATGTGCCTTGTTGGTTTGAAAGCGAACCTATCACTACAATATGCTTGCCAGCGGACTTGCGCAAATGGAGGTATTGGTAGGGGAACACGACAAGCCTTTGATTTCCAGTATTTACCATGGTTCTTTGCTTGAGTATGATTGGGTTACTTGCCATATGACAACTGCACCCGCTCCCCCACACAAAGGTCTCAGAATCCTTCGATCGGACCCTCCTTTTAAGAAGGACCTTTCTTGGGGGTAGGGGGCCCTAGTTTGTTCCCCCAAATGTCAACCCCGAATTAATCAACCTGCTAAAACGGGACTTTCCGCCCTTTAATCTAGAGTCCAGCTGCAGCCAAGAACCCTCAAAAACGGGTGTGGATGGTGGATGGTGAGGTGGCGAGTGGGACAGAGGAGTGTATGCGGTGTTGGTTTTTGATGGGTTTGGAGAGTGCCTCAAACAAAGCCGCTTGTGCTTTGAAGGGATCTGTTTTGGAGGTGCTTTTGGAACGTATGCAGGCTGTTGCCATTGAAGGCATTCTATATGGGTGTGTCTTTTTTAAGGGGACCGCCCAAAGTTATGTTTTTTCCTTTGGTTTCGCTTCAAAACCACCCCCAACAAGGATACCCTCAGAAAAGACGCTCCCATATGGGCCATTGTCTTGTCATTGTGTTGACCTTGCAGACTTCGTCATATGCACGCGCTGCTTGCCGAGGGAGAAGTTGAGGCTAAGCGGGTTTTGTCAGCCTACAGTGCGCTTGAAAAGCCCCCGCGTCCACTTCCTTTGAACAAAAGGGTGCCTTGAAGAGGTGATCCCGAAAAGTCAGATCTGCAAGACCGGCCATGTGTTCACGTCATCCTCCTGGCAGTTTTCCACCAGTAGAACCCGGCCAGCTTTAGCAACCCGGTTTGGGTAGCACGACGTTAAGGATCTCCCGATATAGCTGAGCAACTCGATCGGCTTCTTCGGGATGTGGCTCAGTGCTCAGATGTAAAGCAAGACTTCCATTTGCTTCAGAATCTGCTTGGTTTTCCCTTGTTAATTTTAGAGGCAATCGATCACTGGAATTAGCTGTCGGTTACTTTGCTTCCTCCGAGCTTATGGCGTGGCCTTTCTTTCAGCGCCTTAGGCTCCGGTACCCGGACCCCGCGTCCATGTAAGACCCACAGTGCCGGGCAATTAGATCACAATTTTCCTGGAAACTTGGATCATAGCAAGGTGCTCGAATTCCAGCAGCAACAGGATCGGCTCGGTTGGGAGATTCTCACAACTGGGAACCTCAAGATGGTTGGTCTCCTTTTGCTGTCCCTTTGCCAACGACAAACCCCAGAACCCTCGCCTGTCAAGTTGCTGACCCATGCAACACCCATGCTGCTTTGAGGCACAGGCAAAGCCCTTTGTGAGATTTCCCGTTTCAGATTGCTACCGGCAGAGGGCTTCCATTCTATCACGCCGTCCGCGCGTGTTCTCATGAGCTGATGGAAGTCTCGCCCGGCTCCCCCGGGGCCCGGCGGCCCAGGCGCAGGCGAAGGGACCAGCCAGAATTGGGGTTTTGGCCGCTGGAGTGTGACTCACATCCATTTACCAGAATAAGTCACAAAAGGGGAAACCAGCATGTAAAAGCTAGAGGTACAATAGCCTGGGTACCTACTATAGTGGTAACTAAAGGCGCTGGTAGACTTAACCCCGGTGCCACTGTTTCCTGGATTTGGGTCTATCTTGGGGAAATCAAGAAATGGACCCCTGCTGTGGAGTCCTGAAATATCACAGCGAGAAACCCAGGCACAAAAAGCGGTAGTGGGCTTTCCTTTGTTCCCTTGCCATACTTGGAAAACTGACCGTTTTGGCCTCTTTGGAGTTGCGGGGGTCCAATGTTCCCGTCAGAATGGCGTAAACAGCAGAGTCCCAAGACCGGCAGGAGGATCTACAAGTATGGGTCAAAATGAAACCACCAGGGGACCGCAGGTTTTAGCAGGGCTTCATTTTGGGTACATATTTTTGACCCACAGCCAGGGAAATGTAGCCAAACAGGTCAAAAAACAACCTGCAAGGGGTTTGGGCCCTTGCAGAGTTTGTTGCAGCTCCTGATTCCGGGCTTCCGTTTTCGGATGGGCGACTGGTCGATGGGAAGCCACATGAGGTCCACCGAACAGTCCGAATGGATTTCCCCGGCTTTGGAGGCATCACACGTTGCAGTAACTCATGTGCACTGCTGTTGGTCTCGTGATCATATTCGATTTTTTGCTCCTCTTCATGGGAAGTGGGAACCTGCCAGCATATGATTTTCTGCAGACCCGTGGTGTCATGCCATTCTCAGTTGGCGTTTCATAGTGGACCATTTCCCGAAAAGGAGAGCCCTGGGTTTACAATTCTACCTTGGTAATCAAGAAATGGAACCCTGGTAGAGACAATTGCCAGGGCTCCAGTTTTTACCCTGATGGGCTCGAATGGATCACCATCAAAGTAAAGGTTTGGCCATGGCGGCATTTTGCCTTTCTGTGGGTTGATGCACGTTCCATCCCTACCAAGCTCGAAGAAAAAACAAAAAAACACATATGTTTTGACCATGGCGCACATTCCCATTCCAGCCGATTTTACGGCGAGCTCACCCGGGGGTCAAACGATCTCACCATAATGAAGATCCTTGAAATGGGGATACTGATCTTAAGATCCAAAACTACATACTCCTATCATCCTGGTTATCTCGCATCTTAAATTTAGCTTGGTTTTGGAATTATTGTTAGATGCGTAAGTTCTCCAGTAGTCTGTGGCCCATTGGAGTTCCAGGCATGCGGGGACTCACTTTTATTTCAACCGCAAAATGAACAGGAACCCTGAGAGTCCCTCCCCTAATTCTTGCAGAAAGAGCTCAAAAGGCTGTAAGACCAGGGCCGTTGCGGGCGTCCCACTCTCGAATCTTGAACGCCCGCGACAAACATCTGGGCGCGGCTCAAAACTAAACAGGAGGGGTTACGCAGGTTTTGGTCCATGTTTCCACTTACCAGGGTTCCACTTTGGTACCGGTTTTTTGAGCCACCGCCGTCTGAGGTTGTCCAGGCTGCGGCCCCCCGAAGGTTTTTTTGCTGCGACCCCCCTTTCGCCTCTTGCGCAGCCAAGGGCCCGTCCCCCTCCAAGCGCTGGCGGAAGGCGGTGGCCCGGATTTGCGCCCAAAAGGCGGCGGGTACGCGCGACGCGGCGCGTGAAGCTGCGACGCGACGCGCGGGTTGAGGGGGGCATATGGCTGTGGGTCAAAACCAATGGTATCGTTTTGGGGTAGGTGCACCGCCCATTTTAGTCTATTTTCGTGGGGATTGGGATATTCACTGGGGGTACGGCTTTTGACCCGTGGCCATCTGTGGAAGAACCGCGGCATTTGGAGGTTCCAGGGGCAAAGGTTGCAGTGACAATTGGGGACATCAAGGACCAAGGGCCAGAATCTTCCCATGGCTCTCCATTTGGGTGGTTTGCATGACTCAGCCCTGCATAACCTAGCTTGTTCTGGGGTGTGGGGCTTTTGGCCGTTTCTCTAAAATAGGGAACCCCTTTGTGGATGGTTTCAAAGGGAGACTGGGACACCGAAATGCAAGCCAAATGCAAACATAAATAAAGGGACCATCTTGAGAGGCGCTAGCACCCCGCTCAGCATGTGAATCGGAAAACCACAGCGCCCACAGCTCCAGCATCCTGCAAATCTGCATCACCGGGGTATAGGCCGACTTTGAGCTTGCCTGTTAAACCAACCCTCAGCCCAAATTCTTGGCCGCACACACCCTGCATGTACTGGCGCAGTGCCAGAGCAGCTTGCGCCATGTCCGATAGACATGGGAGTAAAGCAACCCAAATCATATGATGTGACTTTTTAGTGTAATTTCCAAGTTATCAATAGCACTCCGCTTGCAGCGGCGACACCCTGGCCCAGTATCCTGCAGGGCAACATCATACCAACATGAAAGGTCAGACTCCCCTTTTCTCGTCCGAACCCCTCAAAGCTTTTGGCCATTTGGAGAAAAGGGGTTTGCTAATTCTTCAACGGTTCCCAGCCATTCCCTTGACATTCGGACCCCCCCCCAGCCCCCGGAAAGGTTCTGAGTGAATAATTTGTTCAGCGGGCGGAGGGGAGGACCCATGGCCTCCCCCATAGCCCTTAAGAAGGCCTTGTTGGTGGCTCATCATTGGCTTATTGATTTCCCCATTTTAGGGGAGCGCCATCCTAATTTTCCAAAACCGCCTATGTTTCCTTCAGGCCTCCCTTGAAACAAAGAACAGCCATTCGAAAAAAAGAAGAAGAAAAAAGGAAAACACAGAAAAACAACAACATGGGGTATGCCAAACCCTCCACACCAGGAAGGCTGCCGTGTTCTGCCGTTTTTTTTGGCGCCCCTTTGGGGGCGCTCGGGTTTAAGACCGCCCGCCTGGTCGAGTGCAGGCGGTGCTGCACGCCCTTGAGCCGGAGCCCAGCTGGCGGGAGCCCGGAGCCCCAGATCTCGAGCGGATAGCGCGCGCGGGCGGTGACTAGGTCCCCCAGCGAAAGGGTGCCAACTTTTACCGTTTCTTTGTTGGTGGGGAGGGACACCCCCTAGTAAAATGGAGTACAGAACAAAGTTGGTAGCCTTATTCTAAGCTCTCTACTGGAGGACCTAGTTGATCTGGGGAAGCGTCCAGGTTCATTCCTTCCCACGGCGTCCAGTTCCCGAACCCAGGCATCCATTTCAAGGGGTTCATGTCCATTCTTTCCATTTCCAGGTGTCCCAGTTAAGACATCGATCCAAAGATACAAATCAAAGGGTTCAAGGATCATGTTTTAGGCACTCAAAAGAATGTCGTGATGCACCAAATCAAGACAGTTGCCAGTTCTAAACGATGGTCATAAGCTGAATTTGGCCAACACCAATTAGCAATCACGTCAAGAATCCGAAGTGGACGAGGGTGTGTCCTAAAATAGGCTTCTTTTCAGGAAGCCATGCCTTTTTTTTTTGCAGGAGCCGTCAGCCGCAACGCATTGTGTCGCCAAAATTCGCCCAGAAATTCCTTCCAGGTATCCTTCTTTTCATCCCAAACCCAGGGGACACAGCGCAGTTTGGAAAAGAAGGATGGTTGAAAAGAATGGGAATCAACCTCTAGAGTTGAGGGGACCCCCGCAAGCTTCGAAACAGAAAATCCCAACCAGAACTAGGTGCGGGAATTTGCTCGTTTAGTTCTTTGCCATGCATGGGTTTGGGGTGATCAATTTAATACCAGGCTTTTCCTATGCCTAATCCTGATCCACAAATCCTTTACTTGGGGTCCAATTCTTATTGGGGGGCTGTCTGTTTTTTTGGTTCCCCTTTCTTTGGTGTTCTTTTTCGGGAATCAAAAGGAACCTCAAAATGCATTTTGGGGGTTTGCCTCAAACCGGAGGAGCCACCCATTGAAAACTGCGACTTCCCACCAGTACCCCCCTCCAACAACTGCTTTTACCACCCAAAAGCAGTGGTCGGGGGCTGCTGGCAAGTTGTCTATGGCCCCTTTGAGTTTGTTTTCTTCTTTCCTGTTCTTTTTGTTTGGGGGAGGGGGGTCGCAGCATTGCAACCACGACAAGTATGACCACGAGGCGCCCTCTTTTTTTGAGCCCCACCTGTTTTTGGGCGAGCCAAACGGTGAAATGGAGTAAATGGAGGCCAAAAGGCTGGTTTGGGGTTGGACGAGCAGTGCGAGCTCCGAATTTCAACCACCACCATGCGGACCACCGTGCCGTTCTACACGCCACAATACATTTATGGTTTGAAAGGGGAAACAAGAGGACAAAAGCTCCACCTGGGTCCGCCACTCAGAAACACCCGATTCTTCCATTCAAAACTCCAAGGCAAGAACCAAACAGGGCAGAAAGCAAGGGGAGAACAACCGCCAAAAAGAAAATGCAAAAAGAAGGTAAAAACCGCCACCAAGGGGAGGCAAGAACCCCCGCAAGAAAAGGGGAGAACCCCAGCCTCGAGGCTGCGCCCCTACGCGGCGCTGCTGGTGAGCGGCTTCCTCTTCTCACCCATCAGCCAGGCGATCCTTGTGACGCCCGGCCCCGAGCGGAAGGGGTGGGGTGGTTGTTGATGCTCGGTGCCCTGCTTTTGGGGTGGGCGAAAAAGGGAAACCCCACGAAAACCACCAGGTTCTTATGGGCACTTATGGGGCCCCCTATTTTGACGGAACCCTAGTGGTGCACTCGCAAACGGGTTTGTGGCTTTTGGAGTTTCCTTGAACACCCACAAAGGCACTGTGCAAGCGAACATGAGCACTTCAGGTGCGGGCGAGCAGCTCAAACGTTGATCCCGAAGCGAGGGATCACCGAGCGCGCCTCGTTTGGTTTGTCAAGTGGCGTCGGACCATCGCTATGCCCCGCGTCGGACAATGTGCAGCCACAACTTCGCGGCTGCATCCTCACTGAAGCTCCTTCCACCAGGCAGAAACTCCAAGACCTTTACAATTTTAAGGGATTCGCTTGCGGGAGGCGATGGCAGTGGATGTGTTTGTCCATTCACACGAATGTCGACCCCGGATTGATTCATAAATTTTGGTACACCTGTCCTATGAATAGGGTGTGTTCCCCCTATTAATCAACCATTGTTCGTTAGTCCGGGGTTCCCATTATTTTCCTTGCTCCCTGCATGCTTGGACTTGAAACCTTTTTTCGTCTGGACAATTTGGTGTTTTTTTTTAGCATTTCTTGGCCAACCTTCTCAGGAAGTGAGCTTCAGACCCCCCCCCCTCCGCCAGGATTTTTGAATCCTCTCACATGGGTTTGTGTTTTTTGGAGTTACTTAGGTAGGTTTGTTCAACACGAATTGAAGTGAAATCCTTGAGTCAGCAACGGGGGATTGTAAATCAAGGGTCGACAGTAGTCATAAACCTTGCAGATCGACACACAATGTGTTCCATGGGCAGAATGTGAATGTGAGGAAGCGTCAAAACATGGGGACTCCCAAGACTAGCGACTTTCATGTCGGCTTCCCTTTAAACCACCCTGATGGTAGCAGTCAAAGCTCAGTGTGAAGTGCAGAAGAGCATGCCTTGCAACGCCGGTTTCATAGCAGGTTGGACATTCCTCTCCAGACAGTGTAGTGGTTTCAGCCCGGAATGATGGTTGTCCCAGTCTTCTTCTTCTTCTTCTTCTTCTTCTTCTTCTTCTTCTTCTTCTCTCCTTTGAACCTAAAGCTGACTTTTCGCAGGCAGAATCCACACTTGGCCCAGCTGCAGTCGCAGGGCAACTTGCAGATCTGTTCCCCGGATAGTTGCAGATGTGTTCCCCGGATTTCCCGCAGACTTGTTTGTTTGGAGGGATTTATGAAATCCTCAAAGGGGCGCCGTATGAGCTGGATGGTTTTGAGTGACCGGGCGAGTGACCGACTCCTCGCGTGGGCAAAATGGTTTGAAGGTTACTGACTGGCGCTAGTTACTCATGTCGCCTCCAGTTTTTTCATTTTCTCAGCCTAATGGATTTATATATGGGGGGGTTTTCCTGAAAACCTGGCTTGTGCTGTGTTATGTTGTGTTGTGCGGTGTGGTGATTGGTGGGGTTTGGTTCGGTTGGCTTGGTTTGCTTGTTTGCTTGTTCGTGTTTGTTTTGTCCTCTGTCGTCTGCCTGCCTGCCTGCCTGCCTGCCTGCCTGCCTGCCTGCCTGCCTGCCTGCCTGCCTGTCTGCCTGTCTGTTTGTCGTCTGTCTGTCTTCTGTCTGTTTGTTTGTTTTGTTTGTTTTGTTTGTTTAATTGTTTTTGTTTTGTTTGTTTTATCTATTTGTTGTTTGGTTGGTTGGTAGGTTTGGCTCGGTTTGATGTGCTTGTTTGCATTTGTGCATGTTTGCATGTTAGTGTGTTGCTGTAGTCAGTTAATCAACTAGTTAGTTAGTTAGTTAGTTAGTTAGCTAGCTAGCTAGTTAGTTAGTTAATTAGTTGGTTTGTTTGTTCGTTTGCTTGTCCGCTTGTTTTGCATGTTTGCTTGTCTGTCTGTTTGTTTTTTTCCTTGCTTGTTTGTTTTTCTCCTCCATTTTCCGTTTTGTTGGGTTTTGTTTACTAGTGGTGCGCAAGCGGCGCAACACTTTTGCTTGAGCCCTCGTCCAAATCACCTCAGGTGATTCCCCCTCTTCACAAGACCTCCTAAATTCCTTGTTTTACGAGCTCTACCTTGGCCACTTAGAACAACTGATCGTTTCAGCTTCCGCTTTACAGAGCGTCATGTTCGTTCAAGCCCTTGGTGCGCTCCGTTCTGAAGCCCCCAGAGTCATGCTTCCTTAGTTGCGATGATGTGTCTTCACAGAGTTTCTTGACGGCTCTTAGGCTTTTCGCATTTCCATCTTGACACACTCTGAGACTTGCGTTAATTCGTCCTACTGCGGAGGACCGCAAGTGGGCTGTCAGATATTTTAAGTGCTTTTGCTGCACCCAAACGTGGACCCAAAACATGGAATGCGCATGCACCTGCAGATGCTGCCGATGGCCGCAATTCTGTTTGTTTGGTTGTTTGTTTGTTTGTTTGCTTGGTTTGCTTGGTTTGCTTGCTTGTTTGTTTGCTTGTTTGTTTGTTTGTTTGTTTGTTTTTTGTTTGTTTGTGTTTGTTTTGTTTGTTTTGCTTTCTCATGCCCTAACAGCAACAACTTGCATGTGCTTCCTTTATGTTCCTGTTGTCTGCTTCTTTTTCTTGTTGCACCCAAGCTGGCTCGACGCCAATCCTTGTTGCATATATACCTTCTTTTTTTACGAAAGGGGTTCTCTTGCAGTGGTCTCACAGCCGTCCTAAGACCCCATCTAACAAGCTCCTCAGAACCGGTGATTTCAGATCCAGCAGGGTACATGAGCCAAGGTCAATACGTTTGTCTTGCCCAAAAAATGGTTGGGCTCCTCGTGGTTTCCCCTAAACGTGGCCCAACGAATGTTCACGAGAAAAGACACACATATTTTGGGGACCCCTATTTTGAGACCTGCACTTTAGCCTTAAGGGACAGAAAGTCGGAATAAATCCCATTCAGCTCTTTTAGGGTTGCAAAACGAAGTCTCCAAACCGCTTTGCCGATGCTTGGCGGCGTCTTAGGAGCATCCGAATTACGTCGAGGGAGAAACTTGCCCGAACCTCGGAATGCGCAAGAGCGTGGCCTGATTTCCCTGCGGGTTGTATGGGTGTGTCGTTTTGCGAGGATACCTGTTTGTTGTGTTTTTTGGGAGCCAAAAGGACAACCACCATTCTTGGATTATATATTTTGGGAGGGTCCCCTAAACGCAGCCACACCCACATACCCCGGATCGTGGCTGGTCTTCGGTGTGATGCCAAAGGTCGCGGAGAGACCTGGTGGAAACAAATGGTTTTTCTGTCAAAACCAAGGTTAGACTCTGGAAACAAATGGCTTTCCATGAGATCTACAACATGCTTAGGGGGCTCGGAGCAACCCAGGATTTTTGGTGCGACTAAAAGTGCGGAGCCCTCAAAATGATGGCTGTGCCTTCAGTTTTCTTTTTACACGAGTCAACGAGAGTACCTTAAACAAATAAACACACACACACACACAAACACAGACACAAGCACCAAGACAAACAAGCACAAACACAAGCACAAGCATAACCACAAACACACACACACACACACACCAGATAGTGGCCGGCCCCAAACGAGTTGCTTTCTTTCTCGGCCCCTGAGGAATTGTTGGGGGTTCTTTGGAGGGCCCTGGAACGTGCGTAGGGGTCATGAGCCTTGTAACGAGCTCAGGCGCTCCCGGGCAGCTTTAGGCGGGCTTCTTTTGGGGTTGGGTTCCATGGAGGGTTCGATGGGGAACTGGGGTCTGCAAAAATACGTGTCATATGTTGGTTGACTAAAAAAGAGGGGGGGACCGAAGTCCTTGACTTGTTCGGTCCGAAAAATCCGTTTGGGTTGCGGATCCAAATTGCTTGAGCAGATGGCCAGATCCATTCCAGCGATGTCTTTTATGGATGGAATGAGTTTTAATGAGGGACTCCTTTGGACATCATTTAGGTGCGGGATTCAAAAACAGTACCCCTGTTAAGGTGGTTCCTCATCAACATTTGTGGGCATTTGGGTATCAACACTTTGTTGGGGCGGAAGTCATGAATTTGGATGGAGCTTCCCAAATGGTTGGGGCACTTGCACCCCAACATAAATGATTGTCCACCACAGGGTTCCCAATTCCAAGTCGTACTTGTATGTGTGTGTGTGTCATTACCAGGGTATCTTTTGGTGGGCCATTTCAAACCAGTTTGGCAGCTTGATGGGTATCGGTTTTGGGTAGTCCGGTATGGGGTAATATAGCCAAATATATTTGTGGGTGCAGCTTGAAATAGGGGATTCCCTTAATCATGAAGGTTCCTTTCTTCGTTGTTGATTACACGGTTACATTTTTTTTTGTGTGTGTTCTTGCTCTTGTTTGTGGTAAGTGGGAACCAAGCAAACTGTTGCTTTTCTGCTGACCTTTCCAGTAGCAGTGTTTTTTCCATTTCCCTTTTTGGAGGAACGAACCGTGGGTGCGTCTCAAGATGGAGAACCCCCCAAATGAGAGGATTGCACAAGTGGGCGATTCCCAGAAATTTGTAGCGGTCCCTTTGTTGCCCCTTTAAGCGAATCTAATAAGATACCCCCACAAAAGAATACCATTCCCATCTTATCTTCTTCGTAGGGGAAAAAAATCAATCATAGGCCGTGACACCTGGCCACTGAAATCTAGCAGCACCCTCCGCCATTCTCTGCAAGGCTCGGTTTCTTCAGAGAACTGGGAGATACGCGGTTTTTGAAGTGAACGAGTGAAGAGAATGGGAAATCGGCCCTTGGATTGGCTGGGTCTCCTGCCAAACTCCGTTACATTTAAGGGACTAGAAAATAAGGAGAACCAGAATCTATGATTTTCTGTGTACCCCTGGGCCAAGAAACAGGCTTTTTTTTGGGTATTCGGCTGCAAGCCTTTGAAAGATGATGAAACCTCCACTTCCATTTGCTTAAGAGTATTTTTTATTTTCCCTTTGCGATAAAGGGAAACTGTCACTATTGGGCATCTTACAGCATGTTGTATATTTTCCAGGGGCTTAAACAAATGGAGCTGAAGATAAGTCATTTTGTCGGTGTCCCTTGGTTCCACGGCTCATGTTCGGGACGAAGAGACGGAGCCCTGCAATACGGCCGCTAAAGGAGCCGAATGTAGAGACGAGGTGTGAAATGGTGTTTTGCCTTCTTTTTTTGTGCGAGCTCACCGATCCGGGTAAAACGAGCTCGCACTGATAAAGGTCGTTTTGTTGGGGATCCCTAAACTCAGCCTTGGAGATTACAGGACACATTGCAGAATGGATGCTATCATTTACGCTTGCAGCCGTTGGGGGCATCCACGACGCACGCTGGAGGCTTTGTGGTTTACTTGCTTTTTTGTAGGAGCTGCCTTCCGCTTGTTGCCTTGTAAATCGCCTGTTTCATGGCGATTCGCCCTTTGGTGTGACCCTTGCCCCTGAAGAACCTTTTGGAAAGAAATGACTTTCCATACCAAAGGTCATCGACCTTTTGGTCGAGGCTTGGGGCAACACAGGCAACCAGATTGAACAGTCAAGGTGCAGAGGCCCCCCAGAGAGTGCAGAAACCCTCTCAAAGGTGTCCCGAATGAATCTCCCGAAAACGGTTTCGGTGAGAATCTCGCCACACCCTGTGCTCCAAATGCCGGTTCATTCATTCATTCATTCGTTCGTTCGTTCGTTCATTTATTCATCCATCCATCCATCCATCCATCCATCCATCCATCCATCCATCCATCCATCCATCCATCCATCCATCCATCCATCCATCCATCCATCCATCCATCCATCCATCCATCCATCCATCCATCCATCCATCCATCCATCCATCCATCCATCCATTTCTGTTTTTTGTTTCTTTCTTTCTTTCTTTCTTGTTTTTTCTTCCTTTCTTTCTTTCTTTCTTTCTTCTGTATTTTTTTCTTTCTTTCTTTCTTTCTTTGACGTCTTTCTTCTTCTTTTTTTGTCCCGTTGTTTATTTCCTTCCCTCCCTTCCTCCCTCTCTCTCTCTCTCTCTACATTTTTCCCGTTTGTGTGACTTTCATTTCTCCTGCTCGTTCCGGGCAATTCCCTCGCTCGCTCGCTCGCTCGCTCGCACAGGGGCCGCGGCAAAAGCTGGAGCGGGGACCCAGCACCCAGCAGGCAGCAGGTGGGCAGGCAGCAGGCGCTTGTTCTGGGCATGGAGCATCTGAGGGCCCACAACGACCATATTAGTCGGTGGTTCGGTTCCTACCTGGTTCAATTGGAGTTATAGGGAGTGGCCTACATAAAAATATTCACAATTGCGTTGGTAGAACCAAAGGTGAATGGAAGAAAAGGGCGTTGCTCTCTGGTGTCAGACTGTGTCTCTTTTGGGTGGGCAGGTTTGAGGTTCCACGTGTTGCATGTGGGGGTTGAGAAACATATAATATTCCAGTTAGGGCCCCCAGTTTTGACCATGAGTAACTTGTCCTGTGTAGTTGAAATATCATCTTCTTAGTGGCTTTGGCTTTCCAACCAATGGTCGTCCCATGTAAACACCTCGCCACTCCAAATACCCGCTTTTTGGCATTTTTTGGCATTTTTGGAAAACCCCGGAAACCAGGATGAATACTGATCCCTTTTTTAGTCAAGGGTTGACAACTCATACCCCCATCATGCTGTATTCAGGTGTACCCTCCCGCAAGTCACATTGGCATGGGAACCGAACCGATACTCGGATTCCTCACATCCCCAAAGATACGTAAGTCATCCTGAACCTCAAACCTGAACCGCAAGCCCAAGCCAACCCCAACCAACCAACCAACCTCAAGCTCAACCAACCTCAAACCTCCAACCTCAAACCTCACGCCTAAGCCAACCTCCACCAGGCAAGCTGCCCGACTCGCTGAGCGTCCGAGGTGGTGGCCCCCGGTGTGGTGGCGGGGGTTGGGCTCCGTGCTCGCCTGGCGCCAGGGCCCCTCCAGCGCCGTGCGGTATCTGCCCGAGGGCCCAGCCCAGCTTAGGGACGGCCGGATTGGATGGAACAACGGAGGGTCCGATTCCTTTGCTTGGGGTTAGTAGGGTGATTCTTCATACAAGCGGGGAAGATTTTCAGATACCCCGAAAACCCGCCAATGTCCATGGAAAACTTGACGTTCGGGACCCGGTCCCTTTCAAAAGGAAAATGGTCCAGACCAGGACCCCCGGAACGTCAGGTTCCATGTGAATTGGTGGGAGGGTACTTGTGGATTCCCGTGAGAGCTTGCCAACGGAATAAATCTCTTGGTCCCCCGTGCCACTCGACACAGAGCTGTGGGTCCTCCGGAACTATTTTCATATTTGCGGGTAGACGAAATAGGGGCTTGTTCTTGTTCAAGGGAGCCTTGTTTTGGCTGGTTCTAAGGAGAACCCCAAAAAGGAACACCTGCTTTTTGGTTGGGGGGATTTTGTTAGTTTCAAGGGGAACCTAAAAGCAGAACGACTTTTTTGGTTCGGGGGGAGTCCCTAAAAAAGAAACACCCATTTGTAAATGTGAGCAGAGACAGATCATATTCTTTTCTTTGTAACTCATGAGGCCAAGACTTCTGTGGTACCAGAGAACCCTTTTTGGGCAGGTTTAAAGGTGTAAAGGATCTTGTTTGAACATGAGGAGCTGCTCACGCACTTTGCCCACCTGAGATTGAAGCGACCTTGTTTGAAGCCTGTGTGCCAATGAATTTTCGGGTCTCGTGCCGTTTCAGAGACATGGCAAGACGAGCCAT